TATGGAGCAAACATTAGAGTCAGCTATTGATATGAATCATTACCTTTAAGGATTGAGTGTTAATCACTAGATTTCAAAGCGGGAAACCAACAACAGTTGACACATATCGTCTAAGAACAGCGCAGACATGATAAATAAGTCAGGTCATGAATGAGCAAATTTTAAACTATCAATTTAATAGTAAACCCCAAAAAACTTCATTTAAACCATTTAAAAATATTTTTGTTTTAACTAATTAAATACCTAAGCGTCAATACGGAGAAAACGCCACTTATTGATTATTTCTACGGACAGCTGTGATCACCAGTGAGTATTTGAAAACAGATGAGATTAGCTTTGTAACTTTGAAGGACCATCGCCTTCCAGTTTCTATTTTTTTAACTAAATGCCAGTGTTGCACAGAGTATATGTAAAGAACAGCTCAAATATTTTCTGCTGTCCTATCCGCTTGGGTTTCAAATGATTGCTAACAGAAAAAGCAAAAGCTTTTAGTTAGCCAGCTTCCTTGTTTGGTATCCGCTAACCACGAGTCTTGCTTGGCGTTAATGTATGTACAAAGGAAATGAGAAGTATATTTTTTAACTAACTAAACTGTAGTCAAAATATAGATTCAGAATTAGTGTTTAAGTATAGGAGGCTGGGAGCCTATAATAATCCTTTTTCACTAAATTTCTGTGCTTATCCAATCACTTTCGGAACTAGTTAGTTGATGATGCGGACACCACTTCTTCTTGGAATCTATTCCAGGCGTTGATTACTCGATGCGAGAACCAGTACTCTGCGTAGACTATGTTCGTTCTTTGCTTTTGTAGTTTCCTACTGTGTCCTTAGAGGTGTTTCGATCTAGTGGGAAGGAAAAGAGAAGATAGACCTGGTCCTAAGACATTTCTCGGATTCCTGAATAGCATGATTACGTTCCCCCTCTGTCTGCGGTAGTACAAAGTGAAGAGGTTCAGCTCTTCAGTTGGTCTTCTTAGGGGAGGCCAGCCATCGCAGGGATCATACGAATGGGTACCCTCTGAACTCTGTCTTGAAGGTCTGCGTCACCCTTCAGACAAGGATTGGCCACCTGTGTACAGTTTTCTAATTTAGACGTAACTAAGGATGTATATAAGATGGTGACATGTCATCACTTATCTTCGTTAGCGTTCTGTGTAATACCCACAGTGTCCCAAAACTCCGAGCTGCTACCAATCGACAGAGTGCCTTGGTTTTGATATCATAACTCACTGTGACTCCTAGATCATTGTGGGCCAGTGCTGACGGTAGAGGAGTCCCATCTATATCGTAGGTGTTGTGTGTGCCCCAAGTGCATGCTTACACATTTACCTGCATCGATAAGCACCAGCCACTTCTCTGACCAAGTAAACAAGCCGTTTAGGTCTGCCTGAAGCTGACATATATCCCCATCGTTCCTAATTTCCTGCCAGATTTTTACATTATTAGTATAGAGAATCATTGGGAATTTCGTGATAATTGGCAGCTCATTTACGTATAGGAGAAACAGCAGGGGATTATTGACGCGACCGAAGCTCTAGCCAAACCGTTTTCCACGTCTAAGATTGTCAGATAGCTGGTTATAAATTATGTATTTTAAGTCTCGAAGTAAAGGATAAACAAAAGAGTTTTGATTTTACTCATGCTTACAACGCAAGTGGTCATCAGTTTGGGGACTAATAGGTTTTAATAAAGTAATGCGGAACACGTATAGGGAAAGAATTCTTAGACTTCGTATCTCTTATAGGGTAGAAGTTACTGAGACCTCACTAACCGTACAATTTGTTGGGTAGATTCTTAGGTATAGAAGCTTGAAATCTGCTCGTGTGGTCTACTTGTGGTGTTCCTCACCTCTTTCTGGACTTTGACCTCCAGACATTCTAAAAACCAGACAGCTAGCTATAGTTCCTTTCTTTCTGTTTTAGCTGTTTTTTGTGAACTATCAGGGTTCACACAAACTCCCAACGACAGATGATGTCCGCTTGCCCAGGATTTCCGAAATATTTGTATGCTGCCGTTAAGGAAGATAGAAACATCACTTTGGTCAGCCTTGGTCTAGGGTTGTCAATCTTTTTAGGCATCCTTGGGACTTCCTGGGCTTCGTTATCGATGAGATTCATGGTCTTCTTTGGGAATTCCCATTTATAGCAATCACAGTAGATGTCCTGGGAAACTGGGTTTTCGTCCATTCCTTGTGCTATCAGATTCTTAACCTATAAATTAACCTTATAAGTATTATCTGGGAGCTTCTTAATCGTCATTCTCTGGGAGTTTGGGATGTCTGGTAGGATGCTTAACTCCTTCTCAGAGTTTAGCACGCAGAATGTCAACAAGCAAGACAATCTTAGAAGACAGGGCTTTACCCTATTTGTTGAATGGAAGCCTAGTGAAAGCCTATCTGCTTCTAAAGGCCTAATGTAGTGTAGCTTCATTTCGCTGAATATATTTTCCCAAATAACCCTGCTGTTCTTACTCTGAAGGTTATTTGGGAGATAAGAATCATCCATCAGGTTCATGATGATCATTGAGTCGTCTCGAGTAGCGATGCGTTTTCGTAACTTCTGATGACCGTTAGGTGTGTTGTTTAGCTTTTGGTTTTTCATCTCTTTTAGCCTCAGATGCAGGTTACTCATTCCGTTGTTTGACATGCTTGTGAGTGTTTTGCATTACCTGCAGTCCGTTCAATTCCACTGCAGCGTTATTCTTGGCCTGAGTTCTTTTTATATCTGGAGTGTTTGTGGTTCTCCTTGCCCTCAGAATCAGTGGAGTTAATTGGAGCCAAGAGTCAAAATACTCTCAGCAACTACATGAAAATTTGTGCGGTAGGCAACGAACCACACCTGTTCTATGGGGGCGAGTGATGCCATCTTGCTGCTCAAACCTTGGTAGGTTAAATGGGGTTCGAACCCATGACCCACTGGTTTAAAGCCAACTACCTAAACCAATGAGTCAGCTTCACCAATTCATAGAATGATATTCCCATCATTTTAGTGGACAATTATTCATTGACTCTCAGGAGAAAAAAACATTCATTTAGAATTTTTAAGACCAAAACAGTATACAATCTTATCTTGTGGTGCAGTCACACCGATCCCCTAACTCCGGTGCTGACATGAGATGAGCTTCCTTGATGGTTGCGCAGTAACACCAGGTCCTCTGTTGATCTTGTCTGTTTGTCTGGAATAGAAAATAAAATTTTTGTCGTGCTTAATGGATGTCTATACTCCGTCTTCGACGTCCTTACCATGTAAAATTGTTGCATTCCGTGTCTCATCGGTTAACGACAAGATATTGCTAAGGAATTTTAGGATTGAACTTTATTGGACTACGAAAGTGCACCATAACTTCAATCAAACAAGCTTCCTGCTGTTTTTAAATGACTTGAGTAATACTTCCGTTTTTTGGTTTTTGAGCTCTAGATTCTTTGGTACTACGCGCTGCTCTCAAATTCCTCAGTTTCACAGTAGCTTTCTTGTATTGTTGACGTTCCCAAGGATATCTTACATTTCAAATTTATACACATGGTAGTGCCGCATGCCGCCTGGTTCGCTGAGTTCAAGATACCCAGTTTGCGTTGAATTCTTGCAAGCGTCTGGAAACTAGTGGTCACAGGTAACACACTGCATACCATACTGGACAGGTTGACAGCACCCCTGTCTTTTACACGTACTGTCATATGAATATGTAGTAAAAGAAACTTAAACGTATTCTGGGAGAGCATAACCATAGCGTTAAAAGTTGCTGCCTTCGTTATTCATTATACGTTAACGTAATGCTGAACTATGGTTTGGTATGAGTTTCTCACTTCCAATTTTTCACCTTCAAGCAGCACAAAATACAGGAAGTCGTGCAGTGCACAGCGCGTTCAATGATCAGATAGAACTTAATTTCTTTCAATGTTACCGTACGCGTCTTTAAATGATACAGGAAATACTTATGAGTCTAAAAGTGCAATGGATTGCCGTAGATCACTTAGCTAGCAGTTTAGAGATGGCAAAAATGGCAGAGTAAACATCTTTTGCATCCGATAGTCTGGTATTCATATTTATGGCACATTTTGAAAAGAATCCACATATTTGATACTTTTGTAATTGATGACTATGTTTTCTCGTTTATTTTGGTTTCAGTTGTACATAATCAGAAATTGGTGATGTAAGTCAAAGTCGTCTGCGAAAGTATTTAATTGCCATTTGGAATCTCTTGGCTATTTTATAACTTGACTGTAGTTTTGTTGAGTGTCAATTATTGCTAGCGATGAGTGTTCCTCATTGATGAAATCATTTTCTTCAACTTTTCGTCAGCAAGGTTGCCTAATTACAGTTCTAAAATTTTTGGGACCAGTCCATCTGCAGAAAATGAAAAAAATTCATCGAGCTAATTTTGTTTGCCAGCCTGCAGACTAACAGATACCGTCTTAGAGTATTGGTTAATATGCGGCAAATGAAAGGAGAGCAAAAACCCTTATTGAAGTCATTCACGCTGTCATAAATAACGTAGGATCCAGGATTAATGATTCAAGCTGCCCTGATTCTCATCGAAGTGAAAGAAGTCAAACTAGTGGAAAATGGTATCAGGAGTTGTTAAAAGTTAAAAACAAATATATGCGATATTATGTGTGTGCAGCTAAATAAAAACTACAAACCAGTGTCAACATGCTATTTTTCTACTAAGTGAGCCATTATGAAGCCATGCGAAAGTAATATTTTATGGAGTATGTGATTTTTCATTAGGTGCGTATGACCATTGGAAACTGTAATAATTCGAATTGCTTCGTACGAAAAATGTTGTACTTCTGAAGACTACACATTGAAACTTAGGTTCAGCTACTTTATGTTACATAATCATGTAATACCATGACTCCCTAAACACTACACTTGGTCTATGACATAGCGCAAAAACTTACGCACGCTAATTTGGTTGCATTATTAAATGAGAGCTGTCTATAAGACAAACATGAAAGTTTTTATCTCTTTTGGTGTTTTTTTACAGATTAGTCATATTCAATGCTCATATATAGAATATCTGCATCTGTATACTGTATCAAATGTTTGATCCGCCGCAACGGTGTGTACACTAAAACGTTAAACAACCCGAGATTTCCGTTTTCTATGTATCCAAAATGTATTGATTTCGGAGTCATCAATGTAGGTTAGCTTCTGAAATAGTGTTCTTCGTAGTCCAGATGGAATGCGTTTTACGATCGTCAGCTGATTAATTCCGGTCGATGCAAGTTTATCCTTCACGATGGTCCACCTTACGCCAACGGTGAACTTCATGCGGGACATGCATTGAATAAAGTCCTCAAAGATGTCCACCTTCGCTTTAAACTTCTTTCTGGTCACTCCATTGAGTACATTCCGGGTTGGGATTGTCATGGCTTGCCAATTGAACTTAAAGCCATAGAAAACTCAAATATATCATCAGCAAATGAAATTCGACGGGCAGGTATCTTAATTTTCCACCATATTTTTACTTGTAGCCTCATCCCTAGCCCAAAAATTCATTGGAATACAGAAAAATTCCTTTCAGGAATGGGGTGTTATAGGATCGTGGAATGGATGCTATCATACTATGGACAAACGTTTTCAGGCGGTTGAGTTAAAAGCATTTTCGGATCTACATTCAAAGGCATAAACTTATTTCAGTTGATAACTTTTCTCATAGGGTTTTATTTTCCGAAGCTCCTTACCCGTTTACTGGTCCACAGATACAAAGTAATTTCTAGTACTTAATGTACATTCATAAGGTCTGCAATAGCTGAGTCAGAGCTGGAATATAATCCAGAGCATAAAAGTTACTCAATTTACCTGAAAGTCAAATTAACAAAGTACAGTTTTCGTCTTGGGAAAAATGTTGACAGTAAGTTCTGTTTAAAATAAATTTTCGATTTTCAGAGGGCTCCAATGTATACGGTATAGTTTGGACTACCAACCCATGGACTGTATTTTCCAATGAAGCTATAGCATATGATTCAAGTGCCACGTAAGTCTATAACATTGACATCCTTTCAAGTCGTCCGCTTCGGTTGTTACACGTGATGGAAACGTAATTTACGTTCTATGTTAGGAGTTATCTGTTCCTCTTTATACTGCATTTTTTTCACGTGGAGTTGTAGCTCATTAATCTACGCGTTGTACCCCCAGCTACTTAGTCACCCTTTCATTATATATAATCATTTAGTATCACCTGTAAGGGCGATAGTTTATTTTACTATGGTAATGACAGAATAATCTATCCTTTTTACTTTCGTCTCTTCCTTTGCCTTCGCTTCCTCATATCAGCACTAACTCTGCAATTTCCTTCAACTTTTCACCCCTGGGACAATCGCTAGCTATCGGAACCAGCGAAACACCAATCCTAATACCGTGCTAACGATTTCCCGTTAAAGCTTTCAACGTTCAAAGCTTGTGCCAAATCAGAAAACAGACATCTCTTGCTGGAACTTTGGAATCCAGAGCCGCGGATGTATGCTGGATTTCTGAGGCACGTATACAGATCTCACATGTGGTTATTAACTTGACCTCACCTGGTTGTTGTGATGAATCTTCAAAATCCACTCTATAAGTGTCCTGAGATTCAATGACTAGTTCTCTTGAAATTGCTGGCGTAGGCATCGCATTCAATTGTAAAGCAGACTCCTCAATTAGACGCCAGCCAACAGCTGTCTATGAGCTGTTTTACTGAATGGATTTGTAGAGACTGAGAGGTATTGTGGGACTAGCTGATGCCTATCCATAGTCTTAGCCTATACACCTATGTGCAGATAATCCAAAGGGTGACATCCATCGAAAGCTATCAATTTCGCTAAAGGAAGCGAAACGTTTAGATTTGATTATAATAACCGGTGACTTTAACTGTCAGATAGGAAAGCTTAGCCAGTGAGAAAGGGATCTTCGAAGTATGTGGTGAACCTCATGCCTAAGAATCGACAATGGTGGTCATCTATTGTAATTTTTATGTGACAGTTACTTGTTTCTGGCCAGCACTAACTTCAAGCATAAGGAGAGACAATCTTTCATAGCATCCGCCGATATCAAACCAACGATACAGACATAGATAATATTTTGATTAGTCATTGTTGGAGAGGATCAGTGAAGAGTTGCTGCTCTTTCTCGAATACTTGTTTGGACTCTGATCATGTATTAGTACGGGCACATGTATATTTGAGTGTAGAAGAATGATAATGAAGCCCGTGTGTGTTGGATTTGATTATGATGCGAAGTCCATATATAAGGAGGAGATAGCTAAGCATCCATCTGAACGTGACAACAATGCTTATCCTGAAGAAACGTAGCGTGACATCAAATCTGCTGTAGAAACAGTCATAAAGACATCCAAAGATTACCAGAAGCCAGTGTATTTCCACAACATCATCTGAAGTGATTCATTCCATCTGGTTCTGAACACAATCAAGAATGAAGGCAATTTAAACGTAAATTGACCATGATTCATCACAGTGATCGCGAACATTGGTGAGTTGCGAAAGGAAGAGAGATAGAGAAGTCATTTGGGTTAGGTAATATCTGGCAACTTTTTAGGCTTATTAAGAATACCAGTAAAAATACTATGATGAGTGAGGCCACCACTGAAAAGGATGATAACCTGATAACCTCTCAGAACAGACGACTAGAATGTTGTGGAGAACACTTTGAAGCCCAGTTCAACTGGCCCGCAGCAATGCTTCAATCGCCTAACATCCAGCATGAACCTGAACTCTCCTCGAAGCTGAAGTGGTTGTTTCTAATCTGAAAATGTACAAAGCAGACCATACGTTTTTAAGGATGAAGGTGTGAAAGTAAGGAGAAAAGTACCGGAGATACTAGGTATTGTATATGAATTATAAGTAGTCCTGTCGGACTGGTCTACTTCACTGACTATTCCTACTTGCACGAAAGGAGAAAATTTCTTTTTTCGACAACCATAGGGAATCAGTTTCACTAATATTATGTTTAAGATCCTTTTTTCTATAGTTATCCGATACCTATTTGGAGCTGGAAACACAGATATACTTACCGGTGGCCTACACTTCTCATATTTCTTGACCTGAAGGCAGAATTTGACTCTGTTGACCGTGAGGTGTTGTGGCAGTGTCCAACTGAGAGGAGAGTACTGAGCAAGTATTTAACGCTAATCACAGCTCCCTACTCAGACTCACGCAGATGCTTATACGCTTATGGAGATTTGTCATATGGATTGACGACAACTGGTAGTGTCTTCCAGAGTTGCCAATCGTTATCATTCTTGTTCAAGTTCGTTATAGATGTATAAATGAGCATAGCCTTAGATACGTCTGAACTCACAGAAATTAACCTACACTCTGGAGAGCATCAAGTTGTCTTGGAGTGCAAAGACGACGTCGTCCTACTCATGAAGAACGCTGACAGAATGCAGTCTTCTGAGGGCCTTGAAGATAAATTTAGGTATGTTTGGCTGACGTGCATTTCGCACGTATGAAATGTAAAACGATGCTCTATGACTGGTTTACAACTACTCCCAGTTTAAGAATAGGGTGTGAAGTAGTGTGGAATGTGTTGACCACTTCACTTCACTTACTTGAGGAGTTGTATCATCCCGAACAGGTTGGTTGTTGACGAAATCTCAACTTGGATGCAGAAAGGTTGTATGATATTTGACAGCATGAGTCATCTCTGGGATTAGCTTGCGAGATATCCGACTACCTATTAGAGGACGAGTATACTACGTTGCAGTCCATTTTGTTCTGTCATGCAGGTGAGTAACGTGGCTGTTTGAAGTGGATGATATGAAAATGTTTCATGTTTTTGATCATAGCTGTGTTTTTAGAGTTGGTGACCTGTGATCGAATCACTATGAGGTTAGTCGAAGTCTGTATATGCTTTTGTGGATGAAATTAAAAAAAAATTAGTTTAACTCAACGTAATGCTTATATTTGTGTACTACTTATTGTGCATGGGGTTATGATGATACCTGGTTGTCCGGACCATGGTAAGTGTAAGGGGATTCGATCTGGGGACCGGATTAGTCAGAGCAGAATACTGTCGATCGTACATTTTTCATATTGGAATTAGCTTTCACTTATCTACAGTCTTGACTTATTGTAGATGCTGTGTAATCAAATAAAACATTTAGTGAATGGTTATTCAAAAACTATTAGACAACCAGTTGATTCTTGTTAGTGAATGAATGTACTGTTGCATTTTTTTTCTTGTGTCTTAAGTGATTTAACAGTTTTCTTTGCATCTAGATTGATTTGATGCTTGTACTTGGCAATCTATATGACTAGTTTAGTAACACTGACTAGTGTAATAATAGGATTTCGTTGATGGTTTAACTGCTGAATACATTTATCATAGTACCGGTTAATTGATATCCACACAGGTACTACAGAATGAGTTGCAGTGTGGCAATGGTATCTAGTCGAAATATTTATACTTCAGTCTTGTTGAGTTACCCATTGATTATAGAAATTTGTTAGTGGATCAAAGTTGTTATAGTTAAGAATATGTTGAATCATTCCAAACTCATGCTGCTTTATTTACAGAGTCTGAATGTAACCCTATCTACCGAGTTTTGAGTTGCCTAGTAGTCTCTCTAATCATCGGAAAGAGACGATTGCTGCTCTTAAGTTGGTATAGTAAGTTTCATATGGTTGCATAGATGGATTCAGTGAATCCCTTAATGTTTGTGTATCGATTGTGTGGACTCCTGAACAGTAATAGTTAACGATTGACAGCAGATTGTTGAGATGGTCCAACTTGAATGATTCGTACATGAAAATCAAAAGACTAGTGATCAAATGAGTTTTATAGTGTCTCGAAGTGAAAACCCTTTATAAGCGAAACTGGACCATATTTAATAGAGTTTACAGTAACCTTGAAAGAGAACGAGTGATTAGTACATTCAAAGAGCCAATCAAAACACTAGCGGGTTATTCTAAATGTGATCAATGTTCAGAAAAACGAACGCGAATAAAGCCAGTTCTTTTGCAGAAATATCCTTCTATGTTGAAATGCAGTTTTCATCAAGCCATGATATTTAAAAACAGCTGAAATGAACCCATCTTGGATCAAAGGGTTGACAAGTGGTCAAGCAATGATTATTGCTTTCGAAATGAACTGTCTATTTAATAATTGATTTATTTAAAGTAATGATGGATAGTAGCTAGCAGTGGAATCCAGGATGCGCATTTCGTCCCATTTAGGACTCGTCAGCTGAATGTGCCTGCCCCCCAGCAAGTGATGTTGGATGAAATGCGCATCCTGGATTCCACTGCTAGCCATTATCCATCATTATTATATATATATAATTAAAACATAGGCAATATTGAGGCATCCGTGCAGGAGTCCATATACCATTAGAGACCGATCAATTCGGTCGAATCAACGACAGTATAATACAAGCAATAATACTAGTTGGTTTATTTATCTGTAAATCATTTCAGCTGAGTTTTCATCATACCTATAAATACATGTTCACTTTTTTTAAATCTACCGTATCAGGAGTTCTCACTTTCCATTTCATTTCTTACCAGATATATTTTACTTCAAAGTCAACCATCGGGAGACATCTACTTAGTCGGTAAATACTTTTCCGATCGCTTGAAATCTTTTTTACCCGGTGAAAGAATACACCAAGTCGATGAAATACTAGGTAGTCAAATTGTAAAATTTAATTTTTCTCCCTTTTAGGTGATAATCTTAATGGTTGTTTTTATAGTCATCCAACTCGTCCTTTTGCTTATGAAATACCATTTTTGTCCAGTCCTCATGTCTGCAAATCCATGGGTACTGGTCTTGTGCATATAGCACCTTGTCATGGCAAAGAAGATTTCGAATTAGCTAAAAAGCATAACTTACCATTGGTATGTTCATTATATTAAACTCACTTGTTTTGTTAACATCCAAAAGAAACACACTTCATAAATAGGAAAGTTGAAGTGTGTTAATCATCACTACAGTTGTGTACAGTTCTATATTTCAAGTTGTGATTTATCTTAGACTGACATCAGTTGGAGGACCAAAGGAAACCTGAGAGTATTGGACAGCTGTTTCGTCCTAGTATGGGACTCCTCAGCAGTGCGCATCCACTATCCCGCCGGGGGTCGAACCCGCGACCTCTAGGTCCCGTGGCCAGCACGTTACGATTGAGCCACTGAGTCAGAATCCAATGGTCCATACTTCCAATTCCTGTTACCTAACGATATAGCACAACCGCTGAGGAGTCCCATACTAGGACGAAACAGCTGTCCAGTGCTCCCAGGTTTCCTTTGTTCCTCCAACTGATGTCAGTCTACGATGAATAACAATTTGGAATATTTCCAAATCCCCACAACTCGCTCAAGATTCTATATTTGTTCATTAGATATGCTACGCAGTTGGCATTATTATTTTAACTGTGCGAAGTTTCACATAGTCATACTAACTTAATACGACTATAGTCGAAATGACATGACTAATTTGTGTTAAGAACCTTATCCATTGGGGTAAAAAAGAAATAATACTAATAGGTGAACATTACTGATGTTTGGAAGACAAAATGAAAGTTTAAGCTGTAGTTGGATTCGAACTAGCAGCCACAGGGTTTTCGGCCCAGTGCTCTATCAATCACCACTTAGTAGTCTGCTAAACAATGGCTATCTCAGATAGTTAGAATGATGATTAATGATGTTCATGTACTAGAATAAGAAAAAGCACACTTGTCGAAAACGTTTACCCCAGCCGTTTTATCGATAAAAATATGCTAGAAAGAGATGCTAAACCGGTCATTCACTTGCTCTCAAAGAAAAGATTGTTCATGAGCGTAAAATTTCAAGGTGACCTAGTATCAGATGTACTGAAAAATCGTGCATGCTGATCAATCAATCGAACTTCCTTCGCAGCAAGACTTCAGTTGACTTTTACCAGCTATAACCTATTTTCCGTTTGACCACCTCTATGTGCATCTATCTGTTCACCTGCTCTTGTAGAGCAACAGTACATTGGCCGTAGCGAGAGATTGCTGTCAATACATATACGAGAACATGTTCCTACTTGGTTTTATAAAGGTGAAAGAAAGTCTGTTAGAAGTTCGATTCTAGAACATTTGATTAGTTTCTGTCACTCAATAAACCCAGACAATGATTTTACAATTATTTATCAAATTCGCTCAAACCTTCGACATTTTTTTCTTTTTCAACTTCTTAAAACAGCGGAGGCTTTAGCTATTCATAAACTAAAACTTGATCTATGTGTACAAAAGAAGTATGTACAGTCACTGTTTTTATCATGGTCATAACATTTTCCCACCTTATTAGCTTCCCCTTCTCTCATTTGTTAATTCTCACATTATGTAATTTCCTTTTTGAATGTTTAGATATTTCATTCAAGAGTTGTATTCATTCCTTGAAAATCATCTTCAGTATATCTTAATTATGATAAACAATAGTCACCTAATCAGTATTCAACTTTGTATTGGAACAATGGATATTAATGTGATAATGATCCTTACTAGACATTATTCAGGCTTTTCGACATCATTTATCACTTCCCCGCTAAGTTTTAAAATATTATACATCCATTTGATATTTTAGTCAAATATGCACCTTTTTTTTAATGAATACTTTTCAAGGATTTAATAAAAGTTTTATTCATTTAGAAATTGTTTGTTGATGAATCTGGTTGTTTCACCCCTGAAGTTGGTTCAGAATTATTAACAGGTCAGGAAGTGTTGCGTCAAGGAAATACTTCAGGTATGCTTCAGTTTACTAGTCAGTTTTTCCTTTAATTTAAATTATGCTTTGCTTCTTTCTAACACTTCATCTTCAAACGCTAATGTAGGTATAGTTAATACAAAAACCTTTGATTCGCATTTCCATCTCATTCAAAACTCCCCTTCAGTCCTATTGATAACAACGACAATAATAGCGGACACAATGAAGGACCTGTCTATTAAACAAATTATATTCGGCGCTAATAAAATACTACAACCTTAGAATGATTGTCTTTTTAGCAAAGATTATGTTTTTGCATCTTCCGCTTTCTTTTCTCGATTCTGCTTATCTCTGCATAGCACACCTAAGACACTTTCAGTGGGAATTTGAGAATGTTTGGGATGCGTTTCTCATCACCATCACCAAATGCAAATTGTTACTCCACAATTGGTCTTCAACGGTGCCACGGCTAACAATAGAGAGTGTACTGATTGAGTGTGTTGACCACTTCACTTACCTACCTGGGAAGTAGGATCAACCCTACTTTGGTGGCTAGCTCAGCGGCCGATGAAATCTCTGAACGAATATGAAAGGCTCAATTCGCTTTTGCTAACTTACGCCACCTATGGCGTCGCCGTGATATCCCATTGTCCAGTAAGGGTCGCGTATACTACACCTGCACAACAGTCCACTCTGTTCTACTATATGACTGTGAAGAATGGCCATTGAATGTGGAAGACATGAGAAGGTTTGAGGTGTTTGACTACCATTGCCTTTGTAGTATATGCGGTATTCCGTGGTGTCACCGAACCACGTGAGTAATGCAGACGTCAGGTATAGAGGAGTTTTAGGGAGTAGAGGTAAATCAGTTGACGAGGTTATGAACTTTCATCGACTGAGATGGTTGGGATACGTGTTACGTATGACTAGTCGCGGATTGCGTCATCACACAATGTTGACTGAAGTAGGTTTAGAGTGGGAAATGGCTTAATGTGGCCAGACTGAAATGTGGCACCAATGTACGAAGTGTTTGACTGTTGGTTTGAGCTATGTGTGTTGATGGAGAGTAGCCGGTTCGGGTTTATGTGAGAATAGGAACCAGTTGTTGGAGACTGAGTGTATGTGGTATGATTGAGGACCGATGTCAGTTGTGCAGATGTATAGAGACATCGTCATCTTAACGAGGTTATGTCGAGTCTTACCATTTTCTTATTCCTCCTTTCGTACTTTATATTTCTTTTAACTGAATTTCCTTATCTTCATCTTGCACCTCACTGCCTTTCTACTTGATATGAGGTGTGGCGACTCGGACCGTTATGCAGTGATGGATCGGCTGCATTATGTACTTATACGTATTCTTGTGAGTACTATGTACTATAGTATGAATACTGATGTCTCCATTAACCCCTGAACCCAATATCTCGTGTTTCAGCTTCATAAACAAAGAATCATTTCAGTTGAATGTTTCCTTATCTAGGAGACAATTAAAGAATTTCACCTCTTTGACTAGATTTAAAGACCAAAAATCTTTGGATTCAAATATTCCAAGCTAATCGTAGACACTTTTGAAATTTATATTGGAGTTTTGTTGTTTAACTGCCTAGACGTTTAACTTTCCACTATCGAATTTGACACGCTAAACAGTTTCGTTAATCCGTAATACAATAAGAATGGTGTATACAACTTTGTACATGAGTGTACACATGTCGAATAAATTTTATTCATGGTTGTATTGTGTTCTCTGATCTGGGTTGTTCAATCGTGAAGCTTTCATCGTCCTTATAGACGACATCATCAGCACTAATTTCAGAGCTGATGATGTCGTCTAGAACGATGATGAAAGCTTCACGATTGAACAACCCAGCTCAGAGAACACAATACAACCAAGACCATCCACTTAAGCTACAAATAATCTCCACTATTTCAAAATTTTATTTATCCTTCTAGGTAATAACTTCTAATAGGTGCATAAAGTTTTCCTAGAGTAATTATCAAGGTTTACTTATTACATAGCTAGTTTCCTCAGAATTTTTTGTTGTTGGTGGTCTTATCCTTTATATTTTGTTTTATTTAGCTATCGAACTACTTAAACCAATTATTGTACATAAAGAAGTAGTATCTCATAGTTATCCTTATGATTGGCGAACAAAAAAGCCTGTTATTATCCGACTTTCAGATCAGTGGTTTATTGATACGAAAAAGATTTCACCATCTGCTGTAGTGAGTGTCTTTTTTTCTACTTTTAATATGTTATTTAAGGTGATTTGTTTACGTTTTTATTAGGGCTACATTACTCATATTGTATGGATACATATCTTATTCTAAAAAATTCATTTTTCTATTGGTGCCCAGTTTTTTTTTTAGTTGTTTTTGCTCTAACCTATTAAATAGTTCTGTAAAAACGAAGAAGTATAGTGATAATTGTCATCTGTTTGTAAACTACACGTATGTATTTACTTGAACCTTTGACAGCATCCAGGAGAAGTTCTAGAGAACACTGTCAGACATGGTAAATATTTGTAGGTCAGGGTATGGATGTTCAAAGTGAGTTGTTCTCTGACCTAAGGTTTTAGTTGCTATGACCTCCTAGCTGAGAACGACTTACTATGAACAAGTCCAGTTGTACTTAAGTAACTAAAGCAGGCAGTGATCTCAGTGCATAGAAAGGAAGCAACCTGTTGTTGTACCGAAAGATGCAGTGAAACAGTATGTCTTTGTACTAGATTCTGGAAGCCTCATCCGATTGAAAAAAGACTCAGCGTGATCAGGGTGACATCTAAAGCTTAGATATTTCCAGTAACCGTTATCGTCAAATTGTTTATCGTCTCAAACAACTTTATCTACTTTGATATCACTCCTTTTTCTATCCACCTATTCTTTGTGTAATACTGTGAAATGTGGCAACTTTAGTTGGTTCACTTGTGTACGAGGTTGTACGTTGATTCTATCTGACTGTCATCTGGTTGCACTGAAAAATAAAAAATTTGCCTTAACGACTCGCTTGGTTGACATACGAAAGAAGACAACACATTAGATTAAGGAATTTCACCTTAGCCTCAAAAAGATACGCATACAGGTGCTGGTCGTTGGTTTTGACATAATGGAAGTGTCCTTGGGACAGACAGATGTTTCTGCGGATACTGATACATTTAACAAAAGAAATATCATCAAGTTATATTCTACCACAGTGTCCAGACTCTACTATTGTATTTAGGAATTAGCTGTGGTTAGCTCAGTGGTTTAAGGAGATGACTATCAACCAGGGGTTACGGATTTGAATACCACTTCACTTATCAAGGTTTGGGCAGCCAGGTAGTATCAATAGCCCTCACCTAATAAGTTTGGCTCATTGCCTACTCCATGGATGTACATAAGGTGGCTGTGTACGTTTCGTTTTATTCTTTCTTATCCTTGTTTATCTCCAGAATCTCACATTCTATAATCAATAGTGTTGCTCGTCTCCTGCTGTTCGGTATAAGTGATACATTGTAAGATGAACTAATTTTGGTGGCTATCGAAAACAATTAAGTCACCAGTTTTAATGTAACCTTAAGTCATACAGTAATAAAACTCCATTACATCTTGATAGCCTTATCCAAACTCTTTTCTATAAGAAGATTCATTCGAACTAATCTCAAGTACAATAAAAAGTGTAAGAAATTCAAATGTAGATTGACGCAACGAACCCTATTTCTTAGGAGCTCCCTGATTGGTTGACAAAATCAATTTAGAACCTCGTAGACAAAGGCATCGGTTCAAGACGCTATACTTCACAGTATTCCGCAAAGAACAGGAGGATAAAAAGAGAGTGATATCAAAGAAGATAAAGTTGTGTGAGAGAATAAACAATCTGAAGATAAAGGTAAGTGTGAATGTTCAAGCTTTAGATGTCAAGGAGTGAATACATCTGCGCCACTGTGATTTTCAGCCATTTCACCAAGAGTCCTCAAACATTGATTCCTATCCTCTCGTGAATCCTAGCCAGGCAATCTACATCTCTCCACACAACTCAGACCAACAGTCAGATACTTCGTCGACTGGTAGCAGGTCTTGGTCTTGCCACCCTGAACCCTTTTCCAACCCAATCCAACTTTGCCTAGGATGGCACATCCAGGTAGGCGGTGACTTGGCATGCGCAGTACATGTCCAAGCCATCTCAGTTGACTAAGGTTCACAACCTCACCAATCGTCTTGCTTGTCTTGCCTAGTACCTTTCACATGACCTCAACATTGGTCACATGGTGATTTTGCCACACATGAGCAATGCTACGTAGACACCTATGATCTGAACCCAGCAAGGGCAACCGACGCCACAGGTGACGCATGTTGATAAATCCCAAGCGGACCATCTGTATCCGAGCTCAGATTTCCATACCAACTACTCCATTTCGGCTGATGCAACTTCCCAAGTAAGCGAAGGGGTTGATACATTCCACCATTTCACTCCCTATCATTAAACCTCGAGTAGTTGCAGAACAGTACTTCAGCATCATGCATCTCACAGGTGGGAAACGCATGTCAATCATACACAGATTTCTACTCAATGCGTTCGAAAAACCCTGCGTTTTATCAGCGTCTTCACCTAGCCTAACAGGATAATGTCGTCTGCATATTCCAAGTTAACTAGATGACCTCCAGAGAGAAGGTCAATCCTTATGAAGTTAGACGTCTATGACGAAGTTAAATATGAACGGTAACCGTGGGCATTCCTGCTGGATACCACTAGTTGTTGTCAGTTCCCTTGACTACTCTCATTCAGGTCAAGTAATGTGGCAAGCGTCGGAGCAAAAGCAAACGACATTAAGATTGCATTATTAATAGGTAATAGACGATAGTTGCATGTAGTTTTTAAAGGACACTGAATCGAATGATATTTTACTTATTCAAACGATACTGATAGAAACAAATTGTTAATGCACGTAACATTGGCCTTTTACTTTTCTTCCTAATATTATATTATTATTGTTATTAGTCCCTTGGGTTCCTAATGGAATAAAGGGCTTCAGTAGCACGTCTCCAGTGACCTCTGTCCTCTGAGATCTTTTGAACCTGGTTCCACGACAGCCCAGAAGCTCTCATTTCCTCCTCGCACGATCTCCTCCATGTCACTCTCGGACGTCCAACTCGTCGCTTCCCATGGGGATTCCACTCGAGCGACTGGCCTGACGCGTGATGTCCCCAGTCGGCCTTCTCAGTGTATGCCCAATCCATCTCCACTTCCTTCTGCATATTTGTTGAGTGATAGGTTCTTGGTTGGTTCGTTCCCAGAGCTCCTTGTTGCTTATTCTTTCTGGCCAATATTGGTCAAAGTTAATATGACTTTAACTAACCTGAAGCAATGAGTTTAGGTAGGTTCTCTTGGTTTTTCTGCGACACAGTTTAATGATGGACGGACAAGATTAACTTCAGTCATTTATTAAGTTCTAGTAACTGACTATGTTCTATTTCGACTGATCTCATTCGTTAATGGTTTTAGTATTACTAAGGTAAAGAGGGATTATGTTGATAAGGGCACTTATTAACTTCCTATAATTGATAATAAATGAATTTCTCTACTAATCAGTTTATTAGTGTCAATGTGACAGATAACATCATCGCTTTGTCTTATATCAGGATACCAAGAAACAAGGGGATAAGACGAAAATCAACTAAACCTAAATAGTGTAATAAAAATCGTAGGGAGGGGGGTGGCACAAGTTAAGAAATGTATTTTGGAGGTTAAGATCAGGATAATTACGATTGCATCTACACTACTATGATCGATTTGGAACCATTTCACGAATTCTCTAACGGTTGATTTCATCTGCCTCAATGAAGCTCAAAAAAGATAAATCGTAAGGCAAATAAACAGATTTCAGGATCTACTGAAGGCATATCTTTCATAATTCGCAATTCTCGTGTATATTTACTCATGGTGAAATTAAAGCATTAATTGTGAAGTTTTGTGGTAACGTCTATCTCTAAGAAGAATTGTATCCAATTACTGATGATGGATTACTTAAATTCACACATTTGTCATCGAAGCCTTTGATAACATGTGATGTTTGCCAGAGATTTTCATGATCACTGTTTTCATTCAGATCTTTCAATCTGAAGTGATTGAGTGTGTTGACCACTTCACTTACCTACCTGGGAAGTAGGATCAGCCCTGATGGCTCAGTGGCCGGTGAAATCTCTGCACGGATACAAAAGGCTTAATCGGCTTTTGCCAACTTACACCACCTATGGCGTCACCGTGATATCCCATTGTCTACTCAGGGTCGCGTATACTACACCTGCACAGCAGTCCACTCTGTTCTACTATATGACTGTGAAAAATGGCCATTGAAAGTGAAAGACATGAGAAGGTTTGAGGTGTTTGACCACCATTCCCTTTGTAGTATAGGCTGTATTCCGTGGTGTCACCAAACCACGTGAGTAACGCAGACGTTAGGTATAGAGGAGTTTTAGGGAGTAGAGGTAAATCAATTGATGTGGTTGTGAACCTTCATCGACTGAGATGGTTGAGACACGTGTTACGTATGACTAGTCGCGGACTGCGTCATCACACAATGTTGACTGAAGTAGGTTTAGAGTGGGAAATGGCTTAATGTGGCCAGACTGAAATGTGGCACCAATGTGTGAAGTGTTTGACTGTTGGTTTGAGCTATGTGTGTTGATGGAGAGTAGCCGGTTCGGGTTTATGTGAGAATAGGAACCAGTTGTTGGAGACTGACTGTATGTGGCATGGTTGAGAACCGTTGTCAGTTGTGCAGATGTATACAGACATCGTCATCTTAACGAGGTTATACCGAGTCTTACCAAGTTAAACCGTTACTCAGTAATGCCTGGTGCTCGATTGATCTGGAAGGATGATGGATCTGTGGCTTCTTGAAGAAATGTCGCTTGCTAGTACATTCTCCTAGTAAGCACTTAATTCTATTACTAGTTTGTAAGGGCTGGTTGATTGATTTTAAAGTGCTATTCATCACTTTTGACATTAGCGAGAGATCTGTTGAAAACCTAAGAGTTATTGACAGCTGTTTCTCTGTCGTCTAGGTCTCTTTAGAAGTACACACTTACCCCTACCAGAGGTCAACCGTAGGATCTTCAGGTTTCATAGCGACCACGTGATCATTTAGCCAGTAGGTTGTGACATCCAATAGTTCATAGTCTACTACTTTTGTCATTTTGAAATATAGCTGGAATATCATCTTATACGATTAGTGAGTATTTTTCTTCACAGTCGATTTGGATGACTTCTCATTAGAATTTGAGAAAATCGGTCTGGAAATATATGACTATTGAGCAGTAAACAGATTCCCTTTAATTATACGCTAACGGTGAGAAGATTAGGTATCTTAAGATACATCAATATTTTATTTTGTCAAATGTTGATTAATGTGATAAAATCTGTTTATCTGTTTATCAAATAAAGCGCTAGGAGGAGGTATGTTACATTTACCGAACCACTGTACCTAATCCAATGTTCACTAATGATTGAGGTTGTGACGTTGCAGCAGGTGCCATTATTCTATCTATTTTAGCTTGTAAGCAGTATTGAAGTCAGATGAAGGATACTAGGCAAGACAGGCAAATCAGTTGATGATATGAGCCTTTTTCGTTGACTGACGTACCTTGGACATGTGTTGCGTATACCAAACCACCGCCTACCTCGACGTGGCATGCTATGGGAAGTTGGAATAGGTTGGAAGATGTGGCACGAGTCGATGAAGTCTCTTACAGTTGACCTCAGCCATGTGAGATGATGTAGACTGCCTGGTTGCTGTCTCCGAATCAGTGATTCAGGACTCTTGTTGAAGATTTATTCCAAGTTGTTATTCATCGTATACTGACATCAGTTGGAGGAACAAAGGAAACCTGATGCTCATTAATGACTAGCTTCGAGAGGTATTCTCAAAGTTCCAATGAGAAGTCGTTACCGTTGGGGCCAAAGCCTGATAGTCGTGAGGACAGTTATTCAACGATGAAATTGGGTGGCGGTTGCACTATATCGTGAGCTAACAGAAGTTGGAAATATGGATGATTGGATTTTGACCCAGTATCTCATTGGTAACGTTCTGGCCACGGAACCTGAAGGTCGCAGGTTCGATCTCTGGTGGGGTCGTGGGTGCGCATTGCTGAGGAGTCCCGTAATAGGACGACACAGCTGTCCAATGCTCCCAGGTTTCCATTGTTCCTCCAACTGATGTCAGTCTAAAATGAATAACAACTTGAAATATTTCCAAATCCCCACAACTCCTTCAGAAGATTTATTCATTCTTTGACATATTCTATAGCTTGAAAATTCGCACTAATCTGTATCTTCAGACGGTTTATTCTCTCACACAAGTTTTTCTATTTTGATGCCACTCCTCTCCTATCCTCCTGTTTTTGTGTACTGTTGTAAAGTATGGCAATTTGACTTCATTACTATCCGGATTGAAATTTGATAAAATAATTTTGTGTGAAAAAACGTCGAGGAAATGTAGAATTTTCACTTCCCTAGAAGTTGCACTAAATATGATAACGTGTTATTTGTTTGTGCTCATTTGTGGACTATGAAATTTAATCATAGTTTTCGATATAACCATTACATCCAATTCAGCCAGTCAAAAAGATTCAATCAATCTGAGCAACAAGACTATATAAGGTGTATGGGTCCCAATACACCATTGATAATTGAGCAGAACGGTCATTCGACGGTGTTTAGATTACTCCTATCTGACTAGAAAGAAGAAAAAAGCACACTCAGTCACCTTGTGCACATCCATACACTAGCCACACCTATTGTATGGTGGATAGTGATACTACCTGGCTGTTCAAACGTTTGTCTGTGGGGCAGGGTTCAAACCTCTTGACCCTTTTGGTTGACAATCACTTCCCTAAATCACTGAACCACAGCCATAGATGGTCTTTAACTACTCATGTTTTTAGTAGTATATAACGTTTGTAGTTTAAAAGACACTGTGGTGTATGTCTCTTTGTAGCAGCTAGTTAACTCTACAATGTGAAGTTAAGGTGATCTTTCTTGCGTTACAAATTCTTCTGTATGTGGTAACTTTTGGTGTTTACCATTACCAACATAAACTCTAAGGTATTTGATAGTTGAATTAACTTTATAACTATCCTATATCTTATATTGTATTATAAATTTTGCAAATTATGAAACCGATTTTCTTCAATTACCTTATTAGGAGGAGTATAAAAAGTGAATGTCATTCCTGCTTCTCATAAACACTCTATGCTACCATTCATATCTGAACGACCAAGTTGGTGTATATCTCGTCAAAGAGTTTGGGGTGTTCCAATACCTGTACTCTTCAAGATTAATGATAAATCTCCTATCATTGATTAGTATGTATTAAATTATTGATATTGGTTGTGTGTGTTTTGTGTAATATTTTACCCTGAATATTCTTGTTATTTATTATTTAACGTTGGTTCATTCGATTCAGTGACGGTAATCGGTTAAAGGTTTTGAGGAATTACCAATCGTTAGTACTTAAACGGAGAGTATACAGAGCGCTGTAAGTCGATCTGATCGAGTGTTCAAGTTTGTTTCTGGAAAATTTCATTATCACCTGTGCTTTACTTCATAAATATGACTATTATCGCATAGTTATGACTATCGGAGTGATATAGTTATGGTTCCGCAGACTAGTATTAATGATTGCAGGTGAAATGAAAATGTGGGCGGTGGCTGGATTTAAACCACCCCGGATTTCTGGCCTGGTTCTCAATTCACTGAGCTACGAGACCCGACTGGTGATCACATTAGATTCAACTGATACCAGTACCTTCAAACATTTTACGCTTTAATCTCTTACTAAATATGAAATATACTACTCCAATACGTCGAAATGAGTTGCCACAATGGAACATAAATGAGGTAGTTGAGTAAATAATAGGCTAATTGAATTGTAAAACCTTATATTTATCAGTTTTAGGCGATAATATGTAGGCAGCACTGTTTCAACTACAGGCAGCACAGACGAGGACGTCAAAGCCAGGATCGGAAACGCAAGACAGTGTGAAGATCTTCTGCACTCAGCATAAAGCATGAACAACATCCGAATTTTCAACACCAACGTCAAGTCAGTGCTTCTATATGGTTCACAAACTTGGGGCGTTACAAAAGGGATTTTCAACAAACTACAGACATTCATCAAAAACTGCCTAGGCTAACTCGTTACTGAAGATGAGATGGGGAAAATAGTGAGAATAAGCTAGAAGGAACTCTGGCTGGCAACAAACCAACCAAGAAGCTATCGCTGAACAAATATGCAGTAGCAGGAAGTGAAGATGGATTGGGGATGAACTGAGAAGGCCGACTGGGGACATCACGCGTCAGGCCAGGCCAAGCCAGTCCGTCGAGTGGAACCCAGATGGGAAACGACAAGTTGGGCGTTGGTGCTGAGGGTGACATGGAGGAGATTGTGTGAGGAAGAAATGAGAGCTTGTGGGTAGTCGTGGAGCCAGGTTGAAAAGAGTGCAGTAGAGAAATGCTACTGAAGCCGTATGTTCTACTAGGAACCCAAGGGACAAATAATAATAATATGGTGAACAAAAATCTTTGCGATCACTTCCTTCCTTCTTGTCCAAGGTGGTATCCAACAAGCCTACTTTACTCTCTATATGGTTATGACTAACTCAGTGATTTTATGTGTGTCGGCAGTATATTATGATTCAGCTTTAGTGAAATTTTGCTCATTCAACATCTATGCAAACTCTTATAGTACACTGTCGTTGGTACTTGTTGACGATTAGGTAATCTGAAATTTTGTCTATGACTAAACTGTTAGACAAAATATCACGCAATTGTTTCATATTTAAAGTGCCAGAATGACTGTAGTTTACAGGGGAAAAGTGTGTCATTCGCTTCATCATCATTATCAACATAGGACCAGGCATTACTGCGTAACGGTCCGAGTTGCCACACCTCATATCAGCACATCAAGTAAAAAGGTAGTGAGGCGAAGGATGAAGATAAGTGAATGCAGTCAAAAGAAATATAAAGTACGAGAAGAAAGGAAAGAGGAGTGACAAAATGGTGGGATTAGGTATAGCGTTGTTAAGATGACGATAATGTGTGTATACATCTGCGCCACTGACATCGGTTCTGAGCCATATCACCTAGGGTCTCCAACCACTGGTTCCTCTTGTCCCGTGGACCCCAACCACCTAGTCTGCATCGTCCTACATGGCTTAAACCAACAGTCAGAGACTTCATACATTGGTGCCATGTTTTAGTCTGGCCACCTCGGGCCTTTTTCCAGCCTGGACCCACCTGAGCCAAGATTGTGTGACGAGGCAATCGGTGACTAGGCATACGTAGTATGTGTCCCAACCATCTCAGTCGATGAAGGTTCACAACCTCGTCAACTGACTTACCTCTTCTCCCTAAAACTCTACACCTAACTTCTGCATTACTCGCGTGGTGCGGTGACACCACGGAATACGTCCTATACTACGAAAACAACGGTGGTCAAACACCTCAAGCCTTTTTATATCCTCCACTTTCAATGGCCATTTTTCACAGCCATACAGTAGAACAGAGCGGACTGCTGTGCAGTACACGCGACCCTTAATAGACAAACGAATATCACGGCGACGCCATAGGTGGCGCAAATTAGCAAAAGCCATTCGCTTACTTTAACTTGTTCGAAATTTTCTCGTCATTACTTCAGCTTAGAAAGGTTAGTTTATTACGATTAACTGTTTGTTATTGATGATTTGTATCAGTCGATTATTTTAGTCTAAGTTGTATCCATGACATTCGAAATAACTATTGTTAGCCTTGTCTTTTTATGTAAACAATATCTTAGTTATTCTTCTTATTTCTATGTTTTATTGTTTACTTTATATATGTATGTTTGTATTTCAAGTGATCTAATAGACCATATTGCCTCTCGTGTGGCATCTGAAGGCAGTGACTTTTGGTTTTCAGAAACACTTGATCAACTTGTCCCTGAATATTTTTGGAAAAAGGTGAGCAAATTATTCTCTTTTTACATTATCTTGTCTAAGCAATGACATTTTAAATTTAGCTACATTTTTTTTATCAACAAGTGATAATATTGTAGTGTAGTATTCATATGTTATCACATTGATTCCTATACTTTCTCAATTGTACGAGGGTCTAGGTGTATGTAAGTATAGAGTTTGAGCATTGTTATGGAATCTAATACCATTTTCTGTTATATAGTATTGTTTTCTGGATGATGTTGTGAGCAGAATTTACTGCTCATATTAAGATCTAGGTGTATTCTGCACGAAATGCAGGTACCTACCATTAGTTTAGGTGTAATCCTATAGGTAATTATACATGGTTGTTGAGAAATATGCTCTTCCGTTTCCTATGAGCATTCTTCCTAATTCGTTGCGTTGCAAATAATTTTCAGGTGATCAAAAATACCTTTTTGTTTTGTTTATTTATTTTTACTACTTATAAATAGTTTGAGTATATTTGATAAAATTATTGCCATACTTTTTTCATAGTGTTTCACTAACACTCTTTTATTTAGTAAAAATAACAATTGTTTTGACGAATGTTTGATTCACTAATTGAAATTCGTCAGAAAATCACTCAGAATCAGATGTCACTGAATAATTGTTTCATTCTAATTGATAACCCTCCACCAGAGAAACAGCTATTAAGTTAAAACTGGTTAGATTGCAAAAATTGAAGGTTGTAAGTTGAGTCTGTTAGGTTAAAGGGTTTACCCTATTAAGAGAGGCATTAAACGAATAGAGGAGAGGGGGGAAGCTAAATACCTCAGTGCACGGTATTTTTTTAAATAAAGGAATTATAGAAAATTGGATTTGAATCTCAGCTGATTACGATTTGGGAGCATATCTGATAACGCTTGGAAGCACTGAGTCGTATAATCTCTGAGGCTTTTTTTAGGATACTAATTTGATGTAGCCGTCTCACTGTACTAATTTTGAAGTGATCTCCTCTGGTTATAGCCAGTCAATTGGTAGTAATATATGATTGCCTGCAAGATTGTATAAATAAAATCTGTCTATTTTGTCAAAATTGGATTGGTAAATTGACTTCACTAATTCTACAATAATCTTTACTATGAACAGAATCCAGTAACACTTGTGAAGATTTATACCTTTCAAAATTTAATTATTGAATAATGAGAGTATCTACGATACCTAGTGACTGGTTTTTATGTGTTTGTTCGATGTTTAGAGTTGAAACCATGAACCTAGCTGAAATGAGATACAAACCAGTTACCTACCTCTAGCCTCTATTTATATTCAATCACTTGATTCTTTCACATATGAACATTTATCTATCCTGGAATTGCTCAAATTTCTGGATGGTCACAATAGCAACGAAAATCTAAGAGATCAACTCATCTGTTGACTCTAAAGTGAACATATTCACAACAATGCTATACAACAGACGTCTCTAGTACTTCTAACAGTGAATATACCTCCTTTATAATGTTGCTTACCTTAAAATGAACAGTATGTAAAACCTGTTGCCATTGGTCTGCAGTTCTTCAAATGTTTATTCTTTTGCATCACAACATCTAATTCTAATGGCGCAAATCTATATTACTGTGAATGGTACCGCTTAAAGAGACTGAACCTGTTATGTGGCATAATGTGGTATTGTGAAGCCATGTTAAACATGTCGACTGCTTGTTACAGAAATTTGGAATTTTGCGTGATGTTGGTGCCATCTATGGTGACAAAAAAGTATGACTGAAAACGATCTAAACTTTAACACAGTATATACTGAAAAGTGATATTTCCTTGTTCTTTTCATAACTAGCAGGATCTTCTGATGTTTTAACAGAACTTAATGACCTCCCTTATGTACCACTCAGGACCCTCTAAAATCTTGAAGATTTTTTAACGCATATCAATATGATTATTTGTCCCTTGAGTTCCTAGTGGAACACAGGGATTCAGTAGCACCTCTCCATCGCACTCTATTCTATCCAGTCCCTTCAATCTGGCTCCACGACGTCACACAAGCTTTCATTTCTTCCTCACACCATCTCGATTTCACCCTAGGACGCCCAACTCGTTGTTTCGCATTTCGGTTCTACTCGAATGCCATGCCTGACGCGTGATGTGCCCGAATGGTCTTCTCAGTGTCTGCTCGATCCATCTTCACTTTCTTGTGCATATTCGTTGGGCAATAGGTTGTTCGTCGATTGGTTCGTTGCCAGCCAGAATTCCTTGTTGCTTATTCTCATTATTCTGGCCATCTATCTGATCTTCAGTGTCAGTGTTGATTGAGCGTAGGTGGCAGCTGTTCATGTGATGTATGTCTGCATTATGTTGGAAATGCTTTCCACATAGAAGCACTGACTTACTTGACTGAATTAATGTTGAAAATCCGGGTCTTTTTGTTGATACTGAGTTTAGTAGATCTCCACACTAATTTGAGGTTGACGAGGGCCTGTCTTGTTGTCTTTCCGATCCTGGTTTTCACATCGTCATCTGTGCCGCCACCACCGCCTGTAGTTGAGAGGATGCTGCCTATGAAGTGAGGTAAGTGAAAATACTACCTCCTTTAGATTACTCCCGTTGATGGTGATTGGTGCTTGTTGTTGTTGTTAGTGGTGGTGGTGGTGGCGTAGGTTGGGTATCTTCATTACTTCTGTCTTCTCTACGTTCACTTAAAGTTCCGTCTTCGCTGCCTCTCCTCTTCTACTAACTTGTTACTTTTCGCCTGTAGATATTCGAGTTTGTGCGACATAAGACACTAGACATAAATCATCATAGGCGAAATTCAAATGTTCTAGGGTCTTTTCTTCGGTGCAGTCAGCGTTTGGGCGTCTTCTCGCTCCTCACAGTTTTTCGCATGATCCAGTCGACTACAATGAGGAGGATGATCGATGATAGTAGGCGGCAACCTTGTCTTACTCCTTCCTATCTTCACTTAAAAGGCATCACTGAGGTTCCCATTATCAATCACTTGACATGTAGCATCCTCGTATAGCCGTTGAATGAGTATCAATGTGGTGATGTCTGTAAAACTCGTCTCCTTCATGTAAGATCCCTAATATGGGAATGAAATATTTATTGAAGTGTAAGTCAAGCTTTATTTTAATCGAAGAGAAGTAAAACCAATTAACTAAATTTACTCATCAGTCTAGTCATTTTTCTCCACTAATGAGCTAGGTACTCAGTATTCACAATTGTTCAAAACAGTCATGAATGAATACGATAGGATGTCTACGAAGTAGAGTGATTGACGATTTCAGTAATGCAAAAATTCTCATTTAGACATTTAGTAAAAGAAACAATGTGAACGAAGAAATATTTCTTTTCAATTACTTCCTCATCAATGGCTCTACACTAATGTATGTAGCATTTTCAAACGTAAAATTACTCGTAGAGGATGGGTGAGGTGAGAAGGAATGTGATAAATAACTTTAAAGGCATTATGAATGTTAACTCGGTGGCCGGTGTCAATCAGATGAGAGAGTACTGAGCTTCGTATCAATCTGGTTTCCTGCTTACTTAGTCATGAAGGATGATGCTCGGCGATTCAACGACGGACTTGCCTAACTGTACGTCCAATGCAACTAGCTCCACAGGAACAGTTGAACTGGTAAATGCACATAGAAGAGGAGAAGTCAGGCAGTCTGTCTTTAGTTCGTGTGGTCATCATCGGCCGGCTGTAGAAAACACAACATAACTTGGCGGTATTAAATGATCTTCTTATTGCATTTCTTAAGCGTTGTGTCACAATTTCGCTAATGATGTCACCTCGAAATTGTAGTCTTAGGAACAATGGTCTGTTGGAGACTGTAGGCATTCTGGTTTTCATATTGGATGTGTTCATATTTTTAGCCAGTAACGTTCCTGCATATCCATTACTACTGAGTAGATCGTGGATAATTTGAAGCTCTTCGTCAAAAGTATCATCTGAACAGATGAGTCTCGCCCGATGGATTTATATATTGCCGTCAACAATTTACCATTTTACGTAACAGTTCATTTTTGCTCTTTAGTTATCATTATATACAATATCAATTATGTAAGAACCTGTTCACAAAATCTTTCTACTATAATTAATCTATGCTTTAGTTAACACTGTCTTAATTACCTGGTCAATTATCACCTTCTTGATACTTTGAGATGGATAACCTTTCATTGAACAACTCTCAAACCACTAGATTGGTGTGTAATTTTATGTTTGAAAATGCTACATACATTAGTGTAGAGCCATTGATGAGGAAGTAATTGAAAAGAAATATTTCTTCATTCACATTGTTTGATCGATGATTGTCAATAATGTAAATTTTACGTGTACTTCATTTCATTCATTTTTTCTTTTTACTTTCAGTGGGGAATTACTAGCGATGATGTTTACAAAAGTACAGAAGTTTTCGATGTTTGGTTCGATAGCGGTCTGTCTTGGTTGTGTGTTTTAAACAGTAAGTAAATACTTTGTTAAGTTGGTGTAATTATTCATTCTTGAAATCGTTTTTAATATTGTACTTATATATAATAAAGGTTGAAATCTTTAGGAAATGGGTTCAGCTGAATGGTTAACTTCAGTTGGAAATGATATACAATTGAAGAACCTTGACTAATGATGTTACCTGATTGTCTAAACCTTAGTATAGAGTAAGCAGCGTTTAAACCGCTGACCCCCCAATGGTTAAAAGTCGAGAGTTTAGACCAACAGGTCATTTTGTTCAGTCAACTTATTCAGAGAAGTTAGAAATTTCATCCATTATTGATTAGAAAAAAAATTTCAATGCTACTTAATTTTTCTCTATAAATCCTAATGTGATATCATCTGCAATATGTACATAAGGAGATGACTTTTGGTGAAGTCAGATTATTATTATTATTTGTCCCTTGAGTTCCTAATGGAACATAAGGCATGTCACCATTTCACTCCGTTCTCTGCAGTCTTTGCGACCTGGCTCCATGAATGCTCACAAGCTTTCATTTCTTCTTCACACCATCTCCTCTATGTCACCTTCAGCTGGGACGCCCAACTCGTCGTTTCGCATTTGCATTCCACTCGAGTGCCTGACCTGGCGCCTGATGTCCTCAAATGGTCATCTCAGTGTATGTCCAATCCAATCCATTTCCACTTTCGTCTCCTGCATATTTGTTGGGTGATAGATTCTTGGTTGGTTCGTTGCTAGGCCAGCCAGAGTTTCTTGTTACCTATTCCTATTATTCTGGCTATCTGATCTTCAGTGTCAGTATTAAGTGAGCGTAGGTGGCAGCTGTTCATGTGATGTATATCGTAACGTGCCAAGTCTCTCAACCGTCACATAGAATCACTGACTTACTTGACTGAATTAGTCTTAAAAATCCTAATATTGTTCATTTTTTAATGTTACTAAATATTTTTATATACTTTTCATTATTACATCATTACACAGGTGGTAATTACTCACATCAACCTGGCTCACATATCATTGCAGATACCTATCTAGAAGGTCATGATCAATTTCGTGGTTGGTTTTCAGCTTCACTCCTACTTAGTGTTGCACTCACTGGATATGCACCCTTCAAGTAATATAATGAAACCTACTAAAATGTTGTTTTATTTTATTTTATAATTTATCTTTTTTTATGTTTCTTTCTGAAGACTTTATTATCTGTTAAACTGTACACATAGATTTATATTTTAATTCAGAAATCGGTATTCATCATGTACTGATGTCAGTTGAATAGGTATTGAGAACTTGGCAACATTGTACAGGTGTTTCATCCTTAGTAGTGGGCATCGATGAAACTTGCACCGTCAACGTATACATGATGGACTTAGTAGATGTGATTCCGTTGATTCAAGGGAACAAAATAAAAAACGAGTTATTTAAGAAGGGGGTTGATAGTGTTATTGCTTGTTTGACGTATGGGCTCCTATGCGAATGCCTCGATATTGCCTGTGTTTTTAATTTTGTGTAGTAATGGTGAGCAGGGGAATCCAGGATGCGCATTTTGTCCTATTTGGGACTTGTCAGCTGGATGTACCTGCCTCCCAGTGCGGAGTGATGTTGTTCCCACCGGGACTCGGACTCGGGGGCGATTGCTTCAAACGCGAGAACGTTGATTGTTATCACAAAACAGTGTAAACTGATATGATAATTGAAGTGTAATGAAATTGACTAAAAAATCTATTACCAGGAACAAGATAGATGCAGACTACTTATAATTCCAGTAATCTCTTTTTCTCAAATACATGACTTTTTAGTAATGTTACTGTGTAGGCTACAGAATTCTGATCATCTGTTGCTCTTTTCAACCCCTCTCATATCCAGTTGAGTCATAGAGTAGACTGTGTTAAGCTTTAAATGTAGAACTTCAGATGAGGATACTAAATAAGGTTGTGAATCTTTAATCTGGTATCAGCAGAGATATTCGACGCATATTCTGTCCATCTCTCCTCTTCGACTAGAACGTACAACATACAGTAGACATCGGTTAAAATAAGCATCAGATTGACAATTTATGCCAAAGTATTACGGTTTAATTTCACTGTTAAAGTGTAAACTCAGTGATTGATGCTCTCAAGATGGATTAAATAATTAGTTCTAGACTTTGAAATGATGTTGTGTGGTGGAATTTCCAACCGCTTATCGAAAGCCAGAGTGGCATCGTCGTGACTTTACTCTCACCGTCAAAGATCGGGTTTACAACACTGCAATGCAAACAGTTCTGTTTTATGCCTTTGACCATCATTGTCTCGATAGGATTGCTCGTACCCGTCGGCAACACAATGTAAGTATTCCTGAAGTACGACAGCGTGTGTTTAGGTATTACTGAAACACCAGCATCGCGATGGCTTGGGCATGTGTTACGCATGTCGTCACAACGGCTTCCACACCATTCACTGTTTGCTAGTCTTTGGACTAGATGGAAGAAGTGGAGAGGAAATCACTGTATGACGCGGTGCCGTGGGATGAAAAATAGTTGTATCGGGTTAGCATCTATTGGTTCATAATGATTCTCTGGGTGGGGGGTCCGAGAGACCACACAACTTAGTGGCTTAAGACGTTATCAGATATGGCTAAGAATCGAAACCAATGGCGATCATGCTGTAGCTTCCTCGTATCTTTTCGCTGCTGAGAAGTAATGAATCTTTTGTTTTGGATGTATCTCACTGGAGTGCCCTTCCAATCATTCTATTCTTGTGTTTAATTGTTATCCACTTTCCTTCACTTTGTGCCTTCACAATAATGTTATATTATTTTGTGTGGTGCATTTCATGGTGTCCTCACTGTATCTTATTTGTGTTCTAATAAATAAGCATAAAATTGAATGATGTTGCTGGGAATAAGTTATAATGGCTTAGATTCACGCATATTTTCACGTTTACTCATAGCTGAATATTCTGTTAGTCTGCCTCTATGTTGACTGATGCACTATTATACCCTGTTTCATATTGTTTCAATCAGTTATTGTTATTATTTATTATTTGTCCCTTGGGTTCCTAGTGAAACAGAATGATTCACTAGACGGTCTCCATTCCACTCTCTTCTCCACAATCTTTTGAACCTGGCTCCACGACAGCCCACAAGCTCTCATTTCTTCCTTACACGATCTCCTCCATGTCACCCTCAGCTGGTATGCCCAACTCGTCGTTTCCCATCTGGGTTCCACTCGAGTGCCTGACCTGGAGCGTGATGTCCCCAGTCGGTCTTCTCAGTGTATGCCCAATCCGTCTCCACTTCCTTCGTCATATTTATTGAGCGATAGGTTGTTGGTTGGTTCGTTGGTAGCCAGCCAGAGTTCCTTGTTGCTTATTCTTTCTGGTCATCTATATACTAATTCTGAACATTCTTAATTTTTAGGGGATGTTTAGCGCTTTCTTTTCAAGGTTTGGGCAGATTTGTTTTTGACTTAATTGAATCTTAAAAAGTTAAACTACTTGTTTCCAAGACTATAGTCAGTTGCAACTACTCAAAAGGAAAAAAAGTAGTATATAACTATTCTGTTATTTTTTCGTCAGTAACCCGTATATAGTAAATTACTGGAAAGATTAGACCACTAATCTTAAACAGCTAGGCTCTAAGACACTCGGCATTCATTAGGTGATACATCATCATCAATATCAATCAGCATAGGACCAGACATTACTGCGTAACGGTCCAACTTGTCACAGCCCATATCAGTACAACAAGCAAAAAGGCAGTGAAGTGGAAGATGAAGAAACGAAAACTCAGTCAGGAGAAATATGAAGTACTAAAAGAAAGAAAAGAAGAATGCGAAAACAGCGAGATTCGGTATAGCGTCGTTAAGATGAGGATAATGTGTCTACATCTGCACAACTGACATCGGTACTCAGCCATGTGATCACCTAGAGTCAGTCTCCAACCACTGGTTCCTCTTGTCTTATGGACCCCGACTGACTAGTCTGCATCACCCCCACATGGCTCTAACCAACAGTCAGAGACTTCACATATTGATGCCATGTTTTAGTCTAGCCACTCCGAGCCTTATTGCAGAGTGAACCTACTTCGGTCAACATTGTGTGACGAGGCAGACAACGACTAGACATTCGTAACACATGTCCCAACCATCTCAGTTGATGAAGGTTCACAACCGTGTCAACTAACTTACGTCTTCTCGTAACGTCTGCGTTATTCACGTGATGACACCACGGAATGCGGCCTATACTACGAAGGCAACGGTGGTCAAACACCTCAAACCTTCTCATATCTTCCACCTTCAATGGCCATGTTTCACAGCCATACAGTAGAAGAGATCGGATTGCTGTGCAGATGCAGTACACGCGACGGTCAATAGACAATCAGATATCACGGCGACGCCATAGGTGACGTAAATTGGCAAAAGCCAATCAAGCCTTTGTATTTGTGCAGAGATATCAGCGGCCACTGAGCTAGCCACCGGGCTTATCCCACTTCCCAGGTCAGTGAAGTGGTTGATATACTCAACCATCAAATTGTCTATTGTTAGCCCAGGCATCATTGAAAACCAATTGTGGAGTAACAATTTGCATTCGGTTATGGTGATAAGAAACGGATCCCAAACACTCTCAAATTGCTACTCAATATGACACACTGAAAATCAACGTAGAAACTTATAAAAAAGCGGATAGGTTGAAGTTGTCACAATTCACAACAGTATACAAAGTGGAAGCTGACAAGAAACGTTATATCGAGGCAGACAATAGCGTATAAAACTAGAGAGGATAAATATATGAAGAATGAATAAATCTATGCTATTGTGACTTATTCTCAACCATTTCACCATCATTTGTCAATACTTAATTTCTATTGTCTCTAGAACGTCAACTAATCAGTCAACCACTTCTGTATACGAGGTGTCATTTTACGTCTAACTGTAAATATTTCATTATTTAGTTTGTGTGTACTCTACAATTTTAATGTCTTTCTTTGTTGTCTATTTCTCCTTCATGTATTCTACTTTGGAACTACAGCTCATTGGTTCAGTGAGTTAACTTTTAACCGACAGTTCACAGGTTCGAGCCTCACTCCTTCTAACGAGGTTTGTACAGCCAAGTAGTAGTATTTAACTTTCACACAATAGATGTGAGTCATTGCCTACTGGATGAATGTGTGCATGGTTTGCTCAGTGCATTTCAATAACACTTTAAACTGGCATACTAGAGTTCTAAATTCATCTGTTTTGCCTTCATCAATTCTTATTGAGCTAAAGTATATGCATACCAACAAAACTTTTAATTTCAAAAGGATTATACTATATATACTATATCATACTATATTATCAAGTATTCAACTGTTTATGATTTATTTCAGAGATCTTATCGTACATGGTTTTGTTGCAGATTCACAAGGTTGTAAAATGTCAAAATCTTTAGGAAATGGTATCACTCCAAAAGAACTAATTGCTAATGAAAATGGATGTATTGATATAATGCGTCGATGGGTATGTTCATCTGGTCTAGATTCTGTTTGTCGTCTAGGTTCAAAAGAAATGAAACAAAATAACACTGGATATAAAGCTGTAAGAAAATAAAGTTTATTCATTGAATTCAACAATATTATCATATATTTTCTGGTTTCTTCGAGTTCACTTCGATATCATTATTCACGCATCGCTCCTCGCCCCCCGTATTATTATCATCGATATATTAGTTATCAGATAGTTGTAGTTTTCTTAAGCATATGATTCTGTAGACTCGGTCTTAAATCTAACCTTCCATATGATCTGTTTTGAATAGATTTGCCTACTCTCTCAATATCCACCTAATTATATTGGATTTGAGAAGGATGGTTTTATCCCAGCCATCCAATTGTGTGCTTTGTGTGCTTTGTGTGCTGATGCATGGATTGGAGTAGCCGAGTCTCCTTCTAGATGATTGATCTTATTTGGGTTTTTCATTCTATATTTAGCTAAATTCCAATGTTTAGCTATTCTAACTGACTCTGACCAGCTAGTTTGACCTATGTACTTGACTTCATAGTCATTATATGGAATTTGATAGATTAAATTATTTTGTTTAATTGGTTCTATCAGATCCTTAAGCCAGCTGACAAAGTGTATCTCTGAGTGAGTTTGTAGGTTTAAATGCCACTCTAATTCCAACCTTGTTGAGAATCCTACGTTAAGTTTCTGATGTACTTTCCTTATAGGGTAATACAATGGAGGTTGTGAACTCCTTTCTACTTGTGTTGTTGCTATTATTCATACTCGTTTACTCTTGTCATTTCGTTTCTTATGTTTTCCTACGAATTTCTTAACAAACTATAGAGGATGATTATTAACTATTATCGAGCCCTTCGTTAACGTTTTTCGGTTCCTTGTTTAGGTTCTCGCACTGACAAGTCAGCTTTCTAGCTCCATCATTTAGACATTTCATTAATCCTGCCTTAACTGATTTTGGATGGGATGATCTGAAGTTTGAATACCTGTTGGAATGTGTTGGTTTTTTGTAGACAGTGGTATCCAAGCCACTGTCTGTCCTTCGTTTTATCCTGGAATCCAACCTAGACAATTCTCCTTGTTCATTTTCTACCTCCTCGTAAGTGAATTGCACTGCGCCTACAACTGAGTTTATATGTGTGAGGAAATTGTCGATATGTTTCTATTTCAACACAGTAAATGTGTCATCCACATATCACCACCATATTTTTGGTGTAGGACTAAACGTTTGTAAAGCCATGTTTTCCCAACTATCTATAAATATATCCGCTGCGAGTGGGGATATTGGCGATCCCATTGCTACTCCTTCTGTTTGTCTGTATATTTTGTCCTGAAACTTGAAGACTGTGGAGGTCATGCATAACTGTATGCCTAATATGATCTCATCAACCGATATCTTAGTTCTGTAAGTAAGTTCTGAGTCAATATTTAGTTGACTTCTGACTGCCTCTAGTGCCATATTGATTGGTATTTTAGTATAGAGACTAGTTACATCGAAGGTAACCATTTTCCCATCCTCTTCTATGTGTAGGTCATTAAGCCTAAGTTTTAACTGGTAAGAGTTTACTAGTCTATGATTTGAACAGTTCTTAATAGGAAACAATATTCATGGCACGTACTCTGCTAGTTCATATGTTGGGGTATTTCTGAAGTCAACTATGGGTCTAATGGGATAACCTGGGTTATGAACCTTAATAGTGCTATAAATTCTGCTAGGATTATTAGTTTTAGGCATTAAATTAGACCGTTCAGACTCACCTAGAGATAGCCTTAGACGGCGTATCCGATCTACTGTAGATTTCTTTATTTTATTCATGACCATGTCCAAAGGTTTCTCGATCTCTCATATCGTCGTGTTTGGATATGTTCGTTAATTTTGTTGAATTACTCCAATTTATCCATAGCTACTGTTGAATCGCCTTTATCAAGTTTGTCAATTACTATATTTAAACAGCGTAATGAGAAGACGAAGATTATCTGAAACATGTCGTGATGTATTAGCGCTATACATTTCGAACAATCTGATCACACATGGACTTGTCGAACTATTTATGTGAAAATTTACGAAAAAGGTCAATGAAGTTAATAGGAAACATAGGAATAGGAATAGTCAGATGCTTATTCAACAGGATAAACCGTATCTGTACCGATGACATCAGGGAGGAAGAAACCAACTTACTGACGACAACTCTGACACAGAATAGATACCCGTTGAGATTTATCGACCGGTGCAAAAGTTATGTACCATTGAAAAGTACACAGTGTTCCGTTGCTAAGAAAAATGTCTACATCTCATTACCATTTAGAGGTGATTCACACAGCTTTGTTGTGGGGAAAAGACTTAGATCGGCCATCTGTAAGACGTATTATGCAGCTAAGGTCATCATTGTAGAGAAGACCAAGTCCATGTTACAGCACAAACCGAAACAACATATAAACGATTACATCACATCCCATTGTGTTTATTAATTTACATGTATGTGTGGATACACATATTGGGAGGAGTAATCGTGATATGCAGTTAAGGAAGGTTGAACATGTATCTAAGTGGCTACAAAAACAAATGACCTCAACAGATCCGATAAGTGCAGGTGACAAACATCCATCTTCCTCTATCGCTAAACATATACTAGAAACTAACCATAGGATAGACATGAAAACAGCCTTTAAAGTTCTGCATAAAAGTGGTCAGAGCCGAGTGCTTAAATTTATTGAAGCTCTTGTCATCCGTAAATTTAAACCCCCGCTTTATGTACACAAAAACAATTCGTACTCACGTTGAACCTACCTTAGTAGTATTGATTTTAATTTTCTACCAAGAGTAAGGTTTTCCTTTTTTTTTTCTATCCCTTCCTATTCCTATGTTTCTTATTAACTTCACTGACCTTTTTCGTAAATTTTCACATAAATAGTTCGACAAGTCCATGTATGATGAGATTGTTCGAAATGTATAGCGCTAATACATCACGACATGTTTCAGATAATCTTTGTCTTCTCATTATGCTGTTTAAATTTATCAAAGGGACCAGTTGCTTTAAATTACTATATTGTTGTCTTTCTGAAGATGATTCAGAACTGAATTTTCAAGTTTTGCTAAGTTTCACTGTCTCTTCTTTTGTCTTTTCAGTGTTATCACACACTGTGCTCTAAGCGGTTCAGCTGTTGCTGCATCCACCGAAGTTAATGCTACTTCTATGCTAACTATGACATTTCCTGGTTTTAGATGACCTATTTTCTATCACGTTGGATTTTAATCCTTTTTCGAGTAATTTCATCTCAGCTGAGCTTAAAGTTCTCACGAGGTGAAGTATAGAGGTCAAACTAGCTGGTCAGAGTCAGTTAGAATAGCTAAACATTGGAATTTAGCTAAATATAGAATGACAAACCCAAATAAGATCAATAATCTAGGAGGAGACTAGGTTATTGCAATGTATGCATCAGCACACAAAGCACACAAAGCACACAATTGGATGACTGGGATAAAACCATCCTTCTCAAATCCAATATAATTAGGTGGATATTGAGAGAGAAATTGGTTACTGAATCTTTATTCATCGAATCAACATGCAACATATATGTAACAGGAATGATGCAAGACGTCCATACCAGAGATATGGAAAATCATATGTGGTAACAGAGCTATAGAAATCGATTGTTGAAAGTAGTGTGATTACATTGAGGTATGATTATGAGCAGTGATAATTTATGCTGGCAACATCGTCATCAAGTAAATAATACTGTATCATTATTGTGTATTATCAATCAAATAAATAAATTTAATATGTCTATCTTTCGGTACGTGGTTGTGGCTGAATTGGTGTAAAAGAGTCAATGTTTAAGCAGTATATCACAGGCTCGAACACTGTTGCAAATACCGAAGTCCTCAAATATGATAGGTTTAGTTTATTGCCTACTTTACATATGTGTGCGAAGTCGGTGAGTTAGTTTCGAAGCATTGAGCTACAATTGTCGAACTGACAAACACGATTTATATCAGAATGAAACTTCAACGTTTTAATAAAATCTAATTGTATCCTTTGTCTATGAAAGGTATTAAATAATGAAATAGTATACTGATGTTTTCCTATAAATTTAATTTATATCTTTATTATTTTTATTTGATAGCTACGTAATAGTCTGCGTTTTATGCTTGGAAATTTATACGACTTTTGTCCAATTACACAAATAAAGCATACTTTAGACTTGAATTCTATGGATACAAGTTATTCGTTATCTAGATTGGTTTTAGAGATGATAAATTCGGTTCAAGAAAATAATGATAATTCATGTCTTGGTGGAATGGATAAATCTGTATTATATTCACTTGGAAATATTGTTTCCACATCATTAAATATTTACTATCCACAGTTTCGATATGATACTATTCTAGCTGAAATTGATCAATTTCTATCTCACTTCTCATCTGTATATATTACATCAGTTAAAGACAGGTTAGTTGATTTCACTCTTTAAGTTGTATTGAATTCTTCACTTTCATTCAACTGTAGAAATTTAATGAGATCTATCAGGTACACAAACAGACAAATTATTTATTTATATTATTTGTTCCTTGGGTTCCTAATGGAACATAGGGCTTCAGTAGCACATCTTCAATGTGCTCTGTTCTCTGAAATCTTTTGAACCTGAATCCACGACAGCCTACAACCTCTCATTTCTTCCTCCATATCACCCTCAGCTGGGACGCCCAACTCGTCGCTTCCAATCGGGAGTTCCACTCGAGGGCGTGTGATGTCCCAAGTCGGCCTTCTCAGTGTATGCCCAATCCATCTCCACTTCCTGATACTGCATATTTGTTGGGTGATAGGTTATTGGTTGGTTCGTTCCCAGAGCCATCTGATCTTTAGTAGCAAGCGTAAGCAGTTGTTGATGAATGTCTGTAGTTTGTTGGAAATCCCTTTTGTAACGCGCCAAGTCTCTGAACCATCATACAAAAGCACTGACTTGACTGACGTTGGTGTTGAAACTCCGGATGTTGTTCACGCTTCATGCTGAGTGCAGAAGATCTCCACACTGGTTTCAGGTTAACGAACGCCTGTCTTGCTTTTCCGATCGTGGCTTCGAAGTCGTTGTCTGTGCCGCCTGAAGTTGGAACGATGCTGCCTAAATAGGTGAAAGAGGTTACTTCCCTTACGTTTCTCCCGTTGATGGTGATTAGAGTTTGTTGTTGCTATTGTTGTTTGTTGGGTATTTTCATCGCGTGTATCTTCTCTACATGACTTGACTTGAAGTCCCGTCTTCGCTGCCTCTTCTGCCAACTTGTTAGTTTTCGCCCGTAGATCTTCGAGTTTGTGCGACATCAGACACAAGTCATCACTGGCGAGATCCAAGTCTTCTAGGATGTTTTCCCCGGTCCAGCGTATCCCTCTCTTCTCGCTCCCCACTGTTTGTTGCATGATCCAGTCGACCACAATCTGGAAGATCATCGATGATAGTAGGCAGCCTTGTCTTACTCCCTCCTGTCTTCACTTCAAAAGCATCGCTGAGCTTCCCATTGTGAAATACTTGACATGTGGCGTCTTCATATAGTTGTTGAATGAGATTGATAAATGTTTGTGGTATTCCGTAGTGTTGAAGCAACTGCGAAATTTCTTGTCGGTTGACGCTGTCAAAGGCCTTCTCAAAGTCGATGAAGTTGAGTTGAGGAAGAGTGTTGACTGCCATTCTATACTCTGTTCTATGATAATGCGAAGCGTTGCAGATTGGTCCGCACATGATTTGTACTCCCTGAATCCAGCCAGCCAGCCTGTTCCGGTAGTAGTTTTGAATCCAGTGCGTCCTTTAGCCTCTCCAAGATGATGCGGCTTAATATTTTGCTTGCTCTGGGTGGACAGGAGCGTGACTCCGCGCCAGTTCATGCAAACACTTAGGTCTCCCTTCTTCGGCAATTTGACGAGGTAACCCTCGTTCCAATCGATAGGCAGGTACCTTCCCTTCCTTCCACACCTTCTGCAATAGTGGTGTGGTGTGAGCATGTCCGCTTCAGTTGTCTCTGCGTCTGTTCTCAGTGCTTCTGACGGGATTCCATCTGGTCCTGCTGCTTTCCCACATTTCAGTAGCTTTATGGAGCCCAAAACTTCCACTTTTGTTGGAGGATTTGTGTTTACTTGTAGTTCTGTGACTGGGCTGCAGTTGGTATATCTGGACGAAGTGCAGATGGTGGTCGATTCAAGAGCTTTTCGAAGTGGTCAGCCCATCGTTTCCTTTGTTTCTCTTCTTTCGTAATTATCTTTCCTTCATCATCTTTCATTGGTTTCATCTGCGTTGATTTCTTCCCTCCAAGATAGTAACCTGGTTATTTGATATAGTGTTGTCAGGTCTCTGCCTCTCTTACCTTCAGCCTGTTCTGCTTCATTCACTTGCTAGTGTGTCGTAGAAGTGTCTTTTGTCATTCCACGCACTCTTCTTCACTTCTTTGTCCAGTGTAGCGTTTTATACATTGTACTCAGTTCCTCTTCTTCCTGTCCATCACTGCACTGCACTGCACTGGTTCATCTTCTGCTTCACCATCCTCCTCTCCCTCCTCTATCAGTTTCCATGTATCCATTGAGATCCATTCCTTATCTTCTTTCTTCCTTCTTCTTCCTTCCTAATACGACTGTGCAGGTTTATTTCCACATAACTTTCAAAGACTTCCAGTGTTCTTCCACACAGGTTTCTTCAGGCATGTTTCTCGATACCTCCCATTTTGTCTTGATGGCTGGCTGCTGTGAAGATCTCCTTTGTAGTTTCGTCCTTCAGTTTCAGTTCTGGGTGTTCAACTTGAACTGTGGTCTATCGCCAGCTTCCTTGAAGGCTTCTAACTTGATTTGGAAGGTTCCTTACACTAGATAATGAGTGGTGTGAACCTACATCTCCTCCTCTTCTTGATCTTGTGTCAGGTAGGCTGACTGCGTCTCCACTTTCTTCACATTGAAATGAAGTCTGTCTGACTTTCAGTGTAGTGAGTCCTGGTGTCTGGTGAAATCCATGTCGCTCGCTTTGTGGATATCCTTGTGCTTGAACAGACTGCCTGACTCTCATCACCAAATCGTTGAATGCACAGAATTTTGCAAACCATTCTCCATTCTCGTTCATCACGTCACCGAGGGCTTCTCGACCCATGGTTAGTTCTTTTCCTGTGTTGTCCCCTCCCAGTTTGGCATACATGCCGCCCATTAGAATGGATTTTGATATCGCCAACCGGATTGAGGTCTTGTCCAGTAATGAATGCAGTTGTCTGTAGAATTCCTCCTTCTTCTCTTGCTCTGCATTATTTGTAGGTGCATAGCGTGGCATTGTACAATTGTGACCTTCCTTCATTTTGAGTTGAAACTTGCTGTCGTGATGCTGCAGGAGGAGATTGGTTCCCACTGCAGGAGAGCATTCGATGCTGTTGGGGACATTATGATAGCCACTCCCATTACTCAGTGTGCTCGTTGTTGTTGTCTGGGTGACAATATCGGAGTAGATTATTGATTCTCCAGTTGACAGTTTGGAGATTCCACTCCCATTCCATCTGCTTTCGCGAATCCCAAGCACTTTGATGTGATACCTCCTCATCTCGTTTGCAATATGGACTGCCTTGTTGGGTTCTAACATGGTGTGGACATTCCATATCCCCATGTTTACTTTCTCTTTCATCGAGGGAGAGAAGACATATCGGTCAATTGGCTTCCCGAAGGCAGGCTTTCACCAGCTGGCGTCATTTCGCCTGTTCGATTCCAGCGAGGAATAACTTTGTTATTATTTTTTATATTTTGTTTGTGCTTTGAAGTTTGTTTAGCGGTTAGATTTGTTTTTTGGGTTAGAGTTGCTAGCCGCACGTCCAACCTTCCCTCTTTACCCGGGCTTAGGACTGGCTAGTAACTAATGAACTAGTTAACCAGGCGAGGTTGTAGAATACTAAACTACTTTTTAATCCTACTTTCGGAGTTTTCAACAGTGCATACTTAATGCCTGCGAGGGATAAAGTTCAAGACTGTTAGACCTCGTGATGAGGGCGTTATCATTAATCTAACTATTTACTTGTTTTGAATACTGTCGATTCCCTCTTAGTTCCTTTTTAGTTATTGCTATAAGTGAAATTCTGGATATTCCTAATTTTTAGGTCATGTCGTCTGCCCTTATCAGGTTGATGAAGTGCAGTGGGCTGTGTGAGCAGGTGGTGTTTGTGCAAATCCACTAACATCACCACTATGACTATACCTTTACAGTATATTGTCATGTCAAGCAATGGAACTGAAGATGAACAATTCACCCTGTTTTTAATTATCCAGCTAAATTTATCCTTATTGATGATGGATAGTGGTTAGCATTGGAATCCAGGATGCGCATTTCGTCCTGTTTGGGACCTGTCAGCTAGACGTACCTGCATCCCAGCTAGGGATGTTGTTCCCGCTTGGATTCGAACTCAGGGCCGACTGCTCACATAGTATGATCTGCTCAACTCAGAAACCGGTGTCAGCATTGCGAGTGTAATGGGGCAAACGACGAGTTGAGCGTCTGAGGGTGACATGGAGGAGATGGTATGAGGAAGAAATGAAAGCTTGTGGGCAGCCGTGGAGCCAGGTTGAGAAGACTGCAGAGAATGGAGTGAAATGGTGACGTGCTAGTGAAGCCCTATATTCCACTTGGAACCCAAAGGACAAGTAATAATAATAATTTCGAGCGTAATATGATGGTGATCAGTGTTAGTGGTCTAAAACTGTTGATGCCGGGGTCAGTAGTATATTACGTGATACTTCAAGCTCTCAATGTTGACATCAATTGTGATGTCGAGGAGATCATATTACGTGATCTAAATATTTTGATTTCCATGTGAAACTATGGTGAGACAACCGCCCTATGTTTTGATCACCTTGATCTATCTAGTGAGCACTACTGATTGGTCAGGGTGAGTGACCTAGAACTACTCATTTCAGTCAGTAGTAGAGCATAGTACATTCGGATACCACCCTTTTGTTGGTAAAAGTGTCTTTCATACTGGTACGAAGCATGACGGGCAAATCGATTGATAAGGTTTGAAACTTTGGTCGACCGAGGTGGCTTGGACATGTGTCCTGCGCATGCTGATCCACCGCTTACCTCGATGTGTCATTCTAGGGGAAGTTGGATTAGGTTGGAATATGGTTCAGGATGGCAAGATCAAGACGTGGGATCAGTCAATGGAGTCCCAAACTGTTATTCTGAGCCATGTGGGAAGATGTAGACTGCTTAGTTTTGTCCCCCGAGATCTAAGGAATCAATGGTTGAAAACTTTTAGTGAAATGGCTGAAATGGCCGTGACAGTTACGCAGATGTATTTACTCCTTGATATCTTCTAAAGTTTGAATATTCGCATTAAGCGTTATCTTCAGATTGCATGTAATTTTTCAACATATTCACTCCCAGACCAACAATACTTTCATATGAAACGGTTATTGGATCTGTATGATGTTGATGATAACAGTATTCATGGGAATAATATGAAATAACCAGGTTGTTGTAGTTGGGCATCTGGTGCATAATAAAGAATTAACAGAAATGTAAGCGTGGCGGTGGTTCATTCAGTCGATACAAAAATCTACAACTCAAGCTAAACATCTGATGGATAGAAATATGATGTACTTTTTTGCATTGAAAAGTCCATTCCTATGTAACGTAACAGGTTTTCCTCTGGTTTGTTACTGACACTGAAGAAACGGAGAGTTGGAAAACAGTTTTAAAATGTGCTAGAATATATGATCTTAGTTCAAAGAAGATATTTAAATGATTAAAACAAATTGAAAGGAATGAATTAAATGAAAAATGTTCGATGAATAGATTTGGTAGCCGAAGGTTCAAACAAACTATCATTTATGATAACACTCCTTTTCTATCCACCTATTCTTGGTGTACTTTTATGAAGTATAGCAACTTGAGTCGAATACACCTGTATGTGAAGTTTTACGTCTTATCAGTTTTTGGATACTTAAAATGGTAGTTGCTAAGAAAAGTCTGTAGGAGAATGTAATAATGTGATCACTTCTTTTGGAATGTGATTGAAACGTTTTGTTTTCTGGAAAAAGACGGTGTAAACTTGTAGAGTAGCAAACTATGCAGGGATGTTTGCTTCAAGCATTTTTCTTAATCAGTTTATTGTTGTTATTTTTGAAAGTTTTACTTCTCTTTTATTCTATGGTTATCACAGATCATATCTATCTATAATTATCCTTTAATATTTTGGTGGTGTTGTGTATTCTCTGAACAACTCTGTTTCTTTTGGTAAAAATCATCAGCTATCAGAATTATAGTAATGATAGACAGTAGGTAGCAATGGAATCCAAGATGCGCATTTCGTCTTATTTGTGACTATTCAGCTGGCTGTACCTGCTTCCCATTGCAGAATGATGTTGTTCCCACTGGGGTTTCGGACTCGGGAGGGATTGCTTGAAATACCAGAGCATTATCCACTACACCAACAATCCACGATAGCCATTTCTTGTGAGACGGATACAGTTTTAGTATAATTGCGTGTATTATACTGTCGTTGATTGGACCGCATCCTCCTAGAGAGACTAACGGATACGCTGGATTCAAAACTACGACTGAAACAGGCTGGCTGGATTCAGGAAGTACAAATCAACACTACGGAATACAGCAAACATTTATCAACTTCATTCAACAACTATATGAAGACGCCACATGTCAAGTATTTCACAACATAGGAAGCTGAGTGATGCTTTTGAAGTGAAGACAGGAGGGAGTAAGACAAGGCTGTCTACTATCATCGATGATGTTCCCGATTGTCGTCGACTGAACTGGATGATGCAACAAACCGTGATGAACGAGAAGAGGGGGATACGCTAGCTGGACCGGTGAAAAGATACTATAAGATTTGTATTCCCCCAGTGATGACTTGTGTCTAGTGTCACACAAAGTTGAAGACCTACAGGCAAAATCGAAGAAGTTGAGAGAAGAGGCGAGATGAGGCGAGGCAGGGCAGGGCAGCGAAGACGGGACTTGACGTGAACGTAGAGAAGACAGAGGTGATGAAGATACCCAACCTACGCCATCACCACCACCAACAACAACAAGAAGAAGAAGCTGCAATCACCATCAACGGAGAAACTTAAAGGAAGTAGTCTTTCTCACCTATCTAGGCAGGGCAGGGCAGCACTGTTTCAACTACAGGCGACGATGACACAGACGAGGACGTCAAAGAGGCCAGGATGCGAAAAGCAAGACAGGCGTTGATTAACGTGAAAGCAACGAGTGTGGAGATCTACTCGACTGTACTGATCATAAAGAGTGAACAAGATCCGGACTTCCAAGACTAATTGAGTGAAGTAAATCATTGGTGGTATGTGATGGTTGAGAGACTTGGAGCGTTACGAAAGGTATTTCCAACAAACTACAGATATTTATGAACAACTGCCTATGCTGACCCGTTACTGAAGATGAGATGGGGAAAAAAGTGAGAATAAGGTGGAAGGAAGTGTGGCTGACTGGCTGGTAAGGAACGAAGGAATCAAGAATCTATCGCTGAATCAATATGCAGTAGCAGGGAGTGGAGATGGATTGGGGATGAACTGGATAGACCATTTGGGGACATCATTCGCGTGGTGGTCGAGTGGAACCGAGATGTGAAACGACGAGTTGGGTGTTTCAGGTGAGGGTGATATGAATGAGATGGTGTGAGGAAGAAATGAGTGTTTGTAGGCAGTTGTGGATTCAGGTTGAAAAGATTGTAGAGAAGAGAGTGCAATGGTGACGTGCTACTAAAGCTGTATGTTCCACTGGGATCCCAAGGGACAAATAATCATGATATGATTGGACCGAATTGATCGATCTCTATTGGCCTTATCCATCATTAATATAACAAGATTACAGGTATATCGACGGTATAATACAAGTAATAGTACTAAAGCTATGAGAATTATTCCACAAGGGGCTAAGTAAGCCGTCTGAATTATTTTTAAATGTTTCCTATTGTAGTATTGTTATTCTCTCCATTTGGATTACAATCCAATCTCCTGCTAACTTCTTGAATTGGCACATACTTTACATTACTTGATCGTTTAGTTCATTGACGGTGTGAATATTAATTACTAATTGACCTGATTAACACATTTTTAAAATTCCTTAGTGTTTGTTTATCTCTTGTTTATCCAAAATTTCTCTATTGAATTTAGAATTTTTTAGAGGCAATTGATTGATTTCAAGGGTATTTATTTACGAACAGTTGGAAAGTTGTAATCATTCGGTTTTTCGACATCTTTCCTATCCGATAGTATTCTCTACCGCTTATGATCTGGTATTGATAAGTTGTAATTTATGTAATAAAACTCTAGGGTGTACAATATGTTTGATTTGGTTATAATTTTAAAGCGTGAGTTGTTATTCATCATCATCAATATCAACATAGGACCAGGCATTACTGTGTAACGCTCCAACTTGCCACACCTCATATCACTACATCCAGTAAAAAAGGCAGTGAGGCGCAAAATGAAGATACGAAAATTTAGTCGAAAGAAATCTAAAGTACTAAAAGAGAGAAGAGAAGAATGACAAAATGATGAGAATCGGTAAAGCGTCGTTAAGATGATGATAATGTATGTGGGGATACATCTGCTCCACTGACATCGGTTCTCAGCTATGTGATCACCTAGAGTCTGCAACCACTGATTCCTCTTGTCCTACCGACCTCAACCACCAAGTTTGCATCGCCCTGCATTGGCTCAAAGCAACAGTGAGAGACTTCATACATTAATGCCATGTTTTAGTCTAGCCATCTGAGGCTTTTTTCCAGGCTGGACCTATTTTCGGCTAACATTGAACTATTGAAGTATTCCAAAGGGGTTTACGTTTCCATCACTTAGGCATAACTGAAGCATTACCACCCATACATGAACAAAAACTGAAACGTTGTATTGAAAAACGTTTTGTGAAACCATTTTCTCTACCTTGGCCTTAACAATTCATTTTGGTTATTTTATCAATTTCATTTTACTTCACTTTGGTACATTTCTCTTTTATTATTATCATCATTATCACCAATTTTTTCACTTCATTGACAATATTTGACCCATATTTCACCATTTAATATCAATTCATTCCTTATTCATCGACCTATTTTGCATGCTTCAGCTATCACCGTTTTACAATTCCTTGACAGCACTTGTCTCTTATCTCACCACTTGTTATCAATTCGTTCCTCCTTATTCAGTGACCCATTTTCTATTACTTCCACTTGAACAAATACCGCCAACTACAACGATTGTATATTTTGCATATTGACTGAGCAACTCCCTTTTTAGTTCAATTATCTGTCACCTTACCTAGTATAAATTATTTTAAAGGATGAATCTCGAAGTGCTGAATGACCTAATTCAACAAGGTGTTCACATATAGATGAAGTTGTTTTCCTTTGCTCATCTTCGGTAAGACAAACCGGGTAATGTTTAGCAACACGTTTTCGAAGGGCCCGCATACAACGTCCAATATAGTCAGCTTCACAGGAGCACGTGAACTTGTAGATACACATAGATGTGGACATAAGTAGAAGCCTATCCTTCACGCATTGACGAATCAGACAGCGGTTGGAGAATATCAATCTCAGTCTAGCAGCATAGAAGGTTACTATTGATACATCTTGACAGACGATTTTTCAGCACTTCGACTGTGGTGTCTCTTTTGAATTGTAGATTCGTAGTTAAAATTTTCTTAGGGATTTTAATGGGATAGGGAGTGAGTTGTTCGTTTCTTCAGATTCTTATAAATAAATCTTTTAGGGTAAATACGACTGTATAGCTTGATGATGAAGTTGTTGAGAAGAAATATTTCTTCGCTGATACATGCCTTGTTCTTACTATTAGAAGATTAAAATAAATAACCTAAAGATTAAGGCTATCTACTACCGGTTAATTATGACAGTTCATAATATATGGATTGTATCTTCAACTTGTCAGTTAAAAAGTGACTATTTTCAACTTTACAGATTATACTTTAACCATCCAGATGATCCATTTCGACGTAATACACAAATAGTATTCTGGTTGACAGTAGAATGTTTAAAAGCTATTCTTGCACCAATTTTACCTTATTTAATGGAAGAAATTGAAATAGTTACTTGGAATTATTTATCATCTAATTGTATGATATTGAAACATCAATATGAAACACTTTTAGAACGTTATTCATCATTAACTCTACATGATTATTATTGTGTAGATGAATGGAAAATATGTTCCGATTGGTTATTATGCTTATCAGCTATGCAACAATGGAATGAATTTAAAATATATTCAACTTATGTAAACAAAGCATCTTTATTATTTCATTCTCTGATCAATACTCTATCGAAGGATAGAGATGCTTTACCATCGTCTAATAATTCGTTATCAGTTTGTCATGTACACATCAATATACCAACTAAAGATCATGATATGTATTGTATGCTGAAAGTAAGTATTTCTTTTGTAAATCATTTCAAATAAACATGTAATGTATCATTTTGACTAGATAGTTTCCACTGTTCTAAGAGCGTGATCAGCTTCATCATTCGACTATGATTGATTCACAGACTGAAAGCTATAAGTTTACCTGTGGTTAAACCAAAAATTGGATTAGCTATGTAGACGATACTTTTATCATCATTAAAAAAAAAAAAAGATAATATAGAAAACATTCACAGTTTCACCAACAACATTTTCAATGACATCAAATTCACAATGGAGAAGGAGTTGAACAATCAACTATTATTCCTGAATGTTTTAATCAGTAGGACAAATGCTGGAAAGCTAGAAATCGAAGTGTACAGGAACATACTGTAGTGCAACAACTTCACGGAGAAGCAGAGATAATCACTTGATGTTCATCCTAAAGAAGAACGTCTAACCACAAAACTGTATCACAAGATGACTATCCCGTACGTCATCAACGACAAAGTCATCAACAGAAATCAATAAACTTATCATCGTATCGTACATGAAGAATATATCACAAATCACGACAAGGTTACTGAGACCATTTGGAATTGGTGTGGCCACTCATAAACCAACAGATTCCCTCCAAACCTTATTATGGAGGCCAAAGGATGTAACAACTAAAGCGGACAAACCGAATATCATTTACAAAATCAACTGCAATAACTGTAGTCAACATTACATTGGACAGAGTGGTCGCCCTCTTCTCCTTCGTCTACATGAACACCACTCATTTCACTGCACGTGGATAGCAACTATGGACATGAATTCAATTTTGACAGTAGAAATTTTGGATGGAGAGAGGAAACATAAAAAAATCAGAGAAGTTCTAGAAGCATGGCATTCAGGTCAGTCAGCCAGCAATCACCAGATATATAGACATGGACCCAATCTACCAACCAATGAGAAAGGTGATAAATGACAGGAAGTTGAGAGGTGAAGCGGAGGAACAGCCAACATGAAAGTTTATAGAGTCAATGACACAACAATCAATCAGAAACCAGTTCGTCAGGGCAAGTTACTGAATCATTGACGGTGAGACACTGATAGGTCACTTCCTAATGAAGTTAGTGCTGATGATGTCGTCTAGCAAGACGATGAAAGCTCCATGATTAAACAACCCAGGTGAGAGGACAATACAGCCAAGACTCTTACAACTTACATGTTAAAAACTGCTAATCTAATTTGGTGGTTGTCTAGGGTTTGCAGTCCGTTTCCAATTGTGTTGAATAAATCGAAGATGCCAACAACCGAGAAAAATATGAAAATGAATAAGGATAGCATAGCTATTATGCGGAATCAAGCTTAACAGCCTTGATTACCTACAGTCTGAATATTCAGAGCAGTAGGAAGTTATCAGTAGGCATCTTAGAACAAAAATGCGATGAATACCCAATGAAATGAGTTAGATAAAGATTGCATTTTGCTAATGAGCTGTCTATTTCCTTAACTGTATGTTAAATGAACTTTGAAGGTTTATCGAAGGTGATCTCCGCTTCATATATATTGAATCTCCTCAAATATTCCGTTATAAAGGGGTGAATTTACACTAGTCAATCCCCATAGGATTCGAGCCTGCAACCTTACCTATCTATTAGTATAAGGGTTTTTATATGATATCGTCTTTGACTGGACCGAATTAATCGGTCTCCATTAGCATATGGGCTCCTGTGTGGACGCATTTCGTCCTATTTGGGACTCGTCAGCTGGATGTACCTGCCTCCCAGTGCGGAGTGATTTTGTTCCCACCGGGATTTGGACTCGGGAGCGATCTCTTCAAACGCCAGGGCATTATCCACTACACCACTGAGCCACAATAGCCACTTCTTGTGCCACTGGGAAGCAGGTACATCCAGCTGACGAGTCCCAAATAGGACGAAATGAGCATCCTGGACTCCACTGCTAGCCACGATCCATCCTCAACTTACCTATCTGTGTTAGTGACATATTTTTACGAAACTTTTGTTCACCTGTAAGTGTGCATTACTGAAAAGTTCTTACTCTTCTACAATGGCTTTCTTTCATCTTTATGCATTCTCGTTAGGTATGTTGACAAGATGGTGTGGTGACTTGTACCGTTACTCAGAAATACCATGTGTCCTATGTTGTTATTCTACGTATGTCTATTTGAAACAAAAGGAAGTAGTTATGGTTTGAAGTTTGTGGAGACTTTATTTATCTCAAGGTAGTAATCATGATGGATTGAAATCACTTTGAGAACTATTAAAAATCTGGGAGCATTGGACATGTGTTTCGTGCAAGCATGGAACTCCATAGCAATACGTACTCACAATTCAGCTAGGGGTCGAACTCAGGATTTTAAAGTTTCATGGTGAATGCATTAACCATTCAGCTACTGAGTTGAAATTCAATGATTTACAGTCTTCTACTTCTATCGATTAGCGATATAGCGCGAGTAACATCCAATATCTTCTGTTAGCATTTGTTTCACTTCTGACTAACTGATCCCGTAGGTCACAGTTTCTCATTAGAACTTCGGGATAACCATCTGGAAACATATCACTAGTGAGCACTATACAGTAATGCACTTGGCAGTTGATGCGAATTTTAATTTGGATTTCGGTCAAGGGGTTAGAAGAACTACAATGGAACTATACTCCACAATTATGGTCAAACTTTACAACAAGCATCAGTCGCCATCAACAGGAGAAATCTAAAGGAAGTTGTCTCTTTCACACACCTACCTACCTAGGCAGCATCGTTTCAACTTCAGGCAGCGGTGGCGGCACAGATAATGTCAAAGTCAGGATCAAAAAGACAGCAAGACAGGTCTTCCCGCATTTATCTGAAATAATCAGTGTGCAGATCTACTGCACCGCACCGCACCTCACCGCACTGAACTTCACTCAGCATGAAGCGTGAGCAGCATTCTGATTTTCAAGACTAATTCAGTCAAGTGAGTCAGTGAGTGCTTCTATGTGATGGTTGAGAAACTTGGCGCATTACGAAAAGCATTTCCAACAAACTTCAGACATACATCACAGCTGCCACCTACGCTCACTCGATACTGACAGTGAAGATCAGAAAGATGGCCAGAATAATAAGAATAAGCAACGAAGAAGTGTGGCTGTCAACGAACCAACCAACCAAGAATTTGTTGCCAAACAAATATGCAGGAGAAGAGAGTGGAGATGTATTGTTTTGGACACTGACTGAAAAGACGGCTTAGAGACATCATGCGCCAGGCCAGGCTGTTGACTGGAAGCCAAATGGGAAACGATGAGTTGGGTGTCCAAGGGTGACATGGAGAAGATGGTGTGAGAAAGAGATGAAAGCTTGTGGACAGTTATGTAGCCAGGTTAAAAAGACTGCAGAGAATGGAGTGAAATGAAGACCGTGCTAGTGAACCCCTATGTTCCATTAGGAACCCAAAAGACAAATAATAAAATAATAAGTATCTTCAAATTAGGTGGTTTCCTGAAATCATCAAAGTGTGTAGTAGTCCTGTAGTGTTTCTAATATTCTCTTTCCTTTTTTCAGGCTCTTCATCCTCTAGAATCAGTCAAGTCTATATCATCGGATTTGTGTTACTTACTTCGTGCAGCATCAGTTTCATGGTCATGTGGATTGTATCCAAATGAATTTCTTAATGCAACTAGATATTATAACTTTCCATTGAATGATGCTTTTGTGTCAATTAAATTTCTCTCCGAAGATGAAGGCATCAGATGTCATCGTTGTCATCGGTATTCTTTGAAGGATTCTTCAAAAAACTTATGCTATAGATGTACAAAAGTACTGAACACCTCAATACTTGTAAAAACATCATCTGAATCACTTTAAATTTTGTCTAGAAATAATATTCAGAAATAAAACAGCCTAATCTTTATTTTTCGTTATTTTCTTTAGTATTCTCTCACATAATTACATCGTGTTATTATTATTATTATTATTAGTCCCTTGGGTTCCTAATGGAACATACGGCTTCAGTAGCACGTCTCCATTTCATCCTGTTCTCTGAGATCTTTTGAACCTGGTCCCACGACAGCCCACAACCTCTCATTTCCTCCTCGCACGACCTCCTCCATGTCACCCTCGGACGTCCAACTCGTCGCTTCCCATGGGGATTCCACTCGAGGGCCTGACGCGTGATGTCCTCAGTCGGCCTTCTCAGTGCATGGCCAATCCATCTCCACTTCTTCCTGCATATTTGTTGCGTGATAGGTTCTTGGTTGGTTCGTTCCCAGAGTTCCTTGTTGCTTATTTTTTCTGGCCATCTGATCTTCAGCAGCGAGCGTAAGCAGTTGTTGATGAATGTCTGTAGTTTATTGGAAATACCTTTCGTGACGCGCCAAGTCTCTGAGCCATACAAGAGCACTGACTTGACGTTGGTGTTGAAAATCGTATCTTGTTCCACATGCTGAGTGCAGAAGATCTCCACACTGGTTTCAGGCTAATGAAGGCCTGTCTTGCTTTTCCGATTCTGACTTTGACGTCCTCGTCCGTCCCGCCTGTAGTTGAAACAGTGCTTCCTAGATAAGTGAAGGAGGTTACTTCCTTTAAGTTTCTCCCGTTGACAGTGATTGGAGTTTGTTGTTGTTGTTGTTGTTGATGGTGGTGGTGCGGTATCTTCATCACTTCTGTCTTCTCTATATTCACCTGAAGTCCCGTCTTCGCTGCCTCTAACCGCTAAAGAAACTTCAAAGCACAAACAAAATATAAAAATGAAAACAATTACATCGTGTTAATCGTGACTAATTATGATTGTAGTTGTTATTAAGTAATTTTGTAAATAAATTAGGCAATAAACAGTTCGTATGATATCATTTCCGAAGTTGTGGTTGTTATAGTGGATTGATTCAGGTATATTCGACTTGAAATTGCTCCACCTTGTCACTTGATATACAGATGATAACATCAGCTGTCATTTTATAATGATTGTTTTATTGACCAGTGTATAAATATCCGAATGGTTTTTGAGTAGTTATAGCATTCATAATTTGAATATAGCTTACCTTTAAGGTGTAGTGTGTTTTCGCATAATTGACGAATACAAACTCAGTGCAGTTTGTGTACTGAGAAATGTATCACATAAAATGTTTAATAGTATTTATGATGAGGAAGGGAGACAGAGATTAGAAGAATCTGAAGCATTTGAAGTTAGACACATCCAAAAAAGAGGGATTGGGATCACCATTAGCTCTAGTTTTACACCGTATTTAGTATCCATTCATCTATCCAAATCAACATAGGATCAGGCATTACTGTGTAACGCTCCAACTTGCCACACCTCATATCACTACATCCAGTAAAAAAGGCAGTGAGGCGCAAGGTGAAGATACGAAAATTTAGTTAAAAGAAATACAAAGTACTAAAAGAGAGAAGGGAAGAGTGACAAAATGATGAGAATCTGTATAGCATCGTTAAGATGATGATAATGTATGTGGGGATACACCTGCGCCACTGACATCGGTTCTCAGCCATGTGATCACCTAGAGTCTGCAACCACTGATTCCTCTTGTCCCACCGACCTCAACCACCAAGTTTGCATCGCCCTGCATTGGCTCAAAGCAAGAGTCAGAGACTTCATACATTAATGCCATGTTTTAGTGTGGCCACCTGAGGCTTTTTTCCAGCCTGGACCTATTTCGGCTAACGTTGTGTGACGAGGCAATTGACGACTAGTCATACGTAACACGTGTCCCAACCATCTCAGTCGATGGAAGTTGATAACCTCGTCAACTGATTTACCTCTACTCCCTAAAACTCCTCTATACCTGACGTCTGCATCACTCACATGGTGCGGTGACACCACGGAATACGGCATATACTACAAAGGCAACGGTTGTCAAACACTTGAAGCCTTCTCATATCTTTTACCTTCAATGACCATTTTTCACAGTCATGTAGTAGAAGAGAGCGGACTGTTGTGCAGGTGTAGTATACGCGACCCTTAATAGACAATGGGATATCATGGCGACGCCATAGGTGGTGTAAGTTGGCAAACGCGAATTGAGCTTTTTGTATGTGTGCAGAGATTTCACCGGCCACTGCCAGTGAGCCATCAGGGCTGATCCTACTTCCTGGGTAGGTAAGTGAAGTAGTCTGCACAGTCAACTACTTCACTGTCTGTTGTTAGCCGTGGCACCGTTGAAGACGGATTGTGGAGTAAAATTTGTATTTTGTGATGGTGATGAGAACCGCATCCCAAACATCCTCAAATTTCCACACAATATCATTTGAAGACACTAAGTAAAGTTTTCTATTAGATGCCAGTAAGGTATTGGTAGGTCTTTTTGCCAAGCCCTACCATGAGAGATATTTCAACAATATCATCAGTGTTACATTCAAAAAGCGAACATCGGAATTTGACAGGAGACAAGTGGTTAAGCAGTTTGTTGGAAATGCTTTTCGTAATGCGCCAAGTTTCTCAACCATCACATAGAAGCACTCACTGACTTACTTGACTGAATTAGTCTTGAAAATCAGAATGTTGTTCACTCTTCATGCTGAGTGAAGTTCAGTTCAGTTCAGTGCGGTGCAGTAGATCTCCACACTGATTATTTCAGATAAATGCGGGAAGACCTGTCTTGCTGTCTTTTTGATCCTGACTTTGACATTATCTGTGCCGCCACCGCTGCCTGAAGTTGAAACGATGCTACCTAGGTAGGTAGGTGTGTGAAAGTTACAACTTCCTTTAGATTTCTCCCCTTAATGGTGATTAGTACTTGTTATGATTGTTTTTGGTTAGGTATCTTCATTATCTGTGTCTTCCCTGCGTTCACCTTTTCCGTAAGATAGTTAACCTCCTGTGGGTCTGGTTTACAAGTATTGATTGGTCACGGGAGTGCAACCAATTTCATGTTGTCTAGTCCTGAGTGCAGACCGAATCCTATCGATCATATTTGCAATGTGGTAACCAAAATAGGAAATTCAGCATTTCGGAGCACATTAGTAGATGTTAGTTGGTTTAAGGCGATCAGCAGGAAGCTCTGGATTTATGATCGATAGGATTCGGTCTGTACTCATGACTAGACAATATGAAATTAGTTGCACTCCCGTGACCAATCAATACATGTAAACCAGTCGTACAGGTCAGTCGTGCCCCTAGCAGCTCAGTGATGAAGTCGCTGACTACAACTCTGGATGACGCAGGTTCGAATCTCAGGTGGGACATCAGTTCCGTCCAGTTTGCAGATACGCCTTGCTGACGAGCGCCAGAAAGCACGAAACCTAGGTTAAGCAGGGCTTCCTGCCGATTGCCTCCAATCAACTAACATCTACTAATGTGCACCGCAATGCTGAGCTTCCTGACTTGGTAGCCAGCCACATTGCAAATATGATTGATAGGATTCTGTCTGCACTCAGGACTAGACAACATGAAATTGGTTACACTCCCGTGACCAATCAATATATATATCGTATATTCATTAGACTAGTTTGCGATTATACGCATCATCTAATCATAAAGAGAAGAAATGCACTCACTTGAAATCTGAGCGAATATGAACTTTAATAAATCCAATCTTGCTCCTGATGATTACGTGACATCATATTTTCGACCTTAATCATTGGTATTTCTTACTACAATGATAAATTGTAAATGTGAAGAATTGGAAATAGTATGCTAATATGTTACTTATCTGCTATCAATGAATCTATGTATATATTCATTCATAAGTAGTTAACTGATGCACTGAAAACATTAAAAAGTCAAATGACCAGTCTTATATAGTCTTAAGGACACTTTTAAATTTATTTCAAGAGATGAAGATATGAATTTGGGTTAGAAAACAATTATTATTATTATTATTTGTCCCTTGGGTTCCTAATGAAACATAGAGCTTCAGTAGCACGTCTCCAATGCGCCCTGTTCTCTGAAATCTTTTGAACCTGGCTTCACGACAGCCCACAAGCTCTCATTTCCTCCTCATAAGATCTCCTCCATGTCACCCTCAGCTGGGACGCCCAACTCGTCGTTTCCCATCTGGGTTCCACTCGAGGGACTGGCCTGACGCGTGGTGTCCCCAATCGGTCTTCTCAGTGTTTGCCGAATCCATCTCCACTTCCTTCGTCATATTTGTTCAGCGATAGATTCTTGCTTCGTTGGTTTGTTGGTAGCCAGCCAGAGTTCCTTGTTGCTTATTCTTATTATTCTGGCCATCAGAGCTTCAGTATCTGGCGATCGTAGGCAGTTATTGATGAATGTCTGTAATTTGTTGGAAATGCCTTTCGTAACGCGCCAGGTCTCTGAACCATACAACAGTACTGGCTTGACGTTAGTGTTTAAAATCTGGATGTTGTTCACGCTTTATGCTGTGTGCAGTGCAGTAGATCTCCACACTGGCTTCAGATTCATGAACGCCTGTCTTGTTTTCCCTATCCTGACTTTGACCTTCCTGTCCATGCCGCCTGTAGTTGAAACAGTAATTCCTAGACAGGTGAAGGAGGCTACTTTCTTTAAGTTAGAAAACAATGATCTCTATAAAGGGTGCTGTTTTGTTCACCTATGTTCATTTGTTAGAAGTCACTGATCTCATTTATGAACCACTACCAGATAACAACATGGAGGTAGTCCTTATGAGAACCACTTTACCAATATATGACACATGTTGCTACAGTTTCAGAACGAAATTCTATGTGGGATAGAAAGTAGAACAGTTCATTCACCTCTGAACCCTTTTATAGTCCACATGTTTACGACTGACATGAAAAATGAACCACCGCATAACACAATATATAGATGACACGTTCATTTATAAAATAATGATACCGATGATGATAACCTTCTCCACTTATTCAGAACTGTGTTGTTCAAGAATCATCGACTGACTATTTGTTTG